GGCCAGGGTGTGGGCTGCATGGAACCCTGTGGCCTGGACCCAGCAGCTCTGAGTGAGAAAGAGAGAGAGAAGTCTTGGTGCAGGGGTGGGGTGGGATGAGGTGGGATGAGCAGAAGTCAGACCACAGCCACGGGTCCTTCCCTGTTGGGTCCAAGCAGCCCCGAGCACCACGTTCGACCTCAGAGTTCGCAAATAAAGGTTGAGTCAAAGGTGCCAAGCCTGGGTGTCCTTTGGGGCAGGGCGGGCCTGGTTGGGGTCCCCCCAGCCCTGCACTGCATAGGGAAACTGCCTTCCTGACGTCAGCCCTGAGGATCAGCGGACGACAAAGGAGGAATCAGCCCCTGGCTCTGGGGACCTGGGGCGGGGTTCAAGGTGGCAAGTGATGCTCACAGGCTGTGGATGCTGAGCGGCCCATCCTGGGCCAAGGCCTCTCCAGCCCACACTCCTCCTGAGCCTTCTCTTGCCCCACGCGGTGAGCCCCTATGCCAGCCAGCTGGGCATCACCTTGGAAATCAGTCTGGCAAGTCCACAGACGAATACGAGTTGGCCTCTGACCCAGCAGTTTCACTCCGAGGTGTAAACACCAAACACCCCACAGAAACCCCTCGGGCTCACAGCAGCTGGTTCCCACAGCCAGACTGCGGCCAGCTCCACGATGCACAGACAGACACAATGTCCATCCACCTGGAGTGTCCCTCAGCCAGGGCAGGAGCCAGGGGACACACGCTGCAGTATGGATGGACCTGAGGACCTCATGCTCATTGAGAGCCAGACACACAAGGCCACAGTGTGTGACAGTGACAGGCGAGTCCAGAGACCGGATGTGAATCATGGGTGCAGGAGCCAGGCTGGGGAGTGGGTGACTGCTCATGGGGACAGGCTTTCTTCTGGGATGATGAGAATGTTCTGGAACCAGACTGTGGGGGTGACTGCATGACTCTGAATATACAACAAAAAACCCAGCACCCGAACCCTGAATCAGAACCACTGCAGACACTAGGTGAGTGAACTTTGTGGTGTGTAAATTACGTCTTCATAAAGCTACTTAACACAACATCCTCCCTCTGCTGCTCTCGTTCTCCACCCCAGCCCTCACCGGCCCAGGTAGGGAGGAGGCTGTAGAAATTTGAGGCCAGCAGCCTGTAGGCACAGGCCTGTCGTCCCAGTGACTCGGGAGGCTGGGCAGGAGGAGACCCTGTCTCCTAAAGGGCTGGGCTGTGGCTCCGGGATACTTTGGCCCTGGGCTCTACCCGCAGTGATACGAACATAAACCCGAGTCCAGATGATTTGTCACCCGGCAGAGGAAACTCCACTCACTCCCATCCCGTCTCAGATCACACCGGCACCCTCAAGGGTGCCGCCCCTTTAAGAAGGGGTGGGCTCTTGCCGAGAGCCCGAGTCCGAGGAGGCCGGAAGCGCGCATCACGAGCGGGGTCGGCCGGAGCTCCGACCGGAAGCGGAAGTGCTGTGGTAGCGGCGGCTCCGGCGCCGGCAGGAGCGTTCCCGGGCGGTGGAGGTGGGCGGCCAGGTTCCGCGGGGAGACGGAGGTCGAGGTGGAGCGGAACCCCGCGGTGCCGAGCCGCGGTATCGCGCGAAGGGCCAGAGCTGGGCGGCCCCGGAGGGCGCGGCAGGGCGGGCGGCGGGTGCGTGCGAGCTGTCAGGGCGGGAGGAACGGTCCGCGCCAAGCGAGAGGTGGACGCCCGGCCAGTGCTCCCTTCTCCGCCTCCAGGGATGGGCTCCAAGGCCAAGAAGCGCGTGGTGCTGCCCACCCGCCCGGCGCCCCCCACGGTGGCGCAGATCCTGGAGGACGTGCGAGGAGCGCGGGCCCAGGACCCCGTCTTCACCGCGCTGGCCCCGGAAGGTAGAAAGAGTCCGGCCCGAGAGGGAGGGACGGTCCCGGGCCCCAGCGGGAGAGGCCGGGTCTGCACGAGCTCCTCCTCGCCGAGCCTCCCTTTCCTCGTTCGAGGTAGAGTGGGTGCATTTTGCGGTCGTCTAAGTCTGTGTGCAAACCAGGCCTGCACCACACCGCCCGCGCCGCCTGCCCGCTAAGGCCGGGAGCGAGGAAAGGATCTCCACTTTATTTATTTGTTTATTTATTTTTCATGCTGGGGATGGACCCCAGGGCCTTTTTGCACCTAGGCAGTCGCTCTACCACTGAGCCACATCGCAGACCACGGGTTTCAGTGGGGGTGAGCATATTTTGAGATATGTGGAAGTAACGTGAAGTCATCTTCAGTGTCCGTAAATAAAAAGTTTTTGGGTACGCAGCCAGTTTTTCCACTCCTGGGCCAGTAGCTGCTCTCACTGTAGACAGGGGTGGGAACAGACCTACAGAACTGTGGGGCACTCCCCTGTGCCTGCACACCTGTTAGCCTATCCCAGTAGCTCAGGAGGCTGAGGCAGAAGGTCACAGGTTCCAGCCAACCTTGGCAATTTAGCAAGACTCTGCCTCAAAATAAAAAGGGCCGGCGTGCAATCCAGTAGGAGCACGTGTGAGGCCCTAGGTTCCACCTAGCACACACAGGAGCTGAGGTGCACCATGTTCAAGGGAGAGAGAAGGGGCGCTCTGGGGCTCACTGGAGGGAAAGGGCATCTTCTCCTTGTCCCATCCTGTTTGCATGTGACCTTCCCCCTTTTTATCTGAAACAATGGTGAAAAAGTGATCTGTAACCAAACGCTAGTGTTCCTGGCCTGCGGTGGGTGTTGGAGCTGGAATCCAGACGGTTATGGGCAGGTGAGGGACAGGAAGGATTGGAGGGAGTCCAATGGTACCCAAAACCTGACCTTTGCAGTCCTGCAGCCATGGTCTTGTACCTTCTGGGAGCAGGGGAGTTTTATGTGCTGCTTGTGCGAGGTGCCCTGGGAAATGTGTCTCCACACCCGCAGTTCTGGAAGCACTGGGTCCTGTGGCTGCAGAACCACACAAGGCATCTGCAGGAGCTGGCATGTTGCAGCTCAGGCTTCCAGAGAGAGCAGGCCCAAGAGCCCAGTCTGAAGACAGAAATCGGAGCCCACCCAGGGAGGCCCACCCAGTGGCCTGGGTTGAGCTTTCCTGTGGGCCTTTCTGCAACCAGTCTGTTGCCAAGGTGAAAACCAAGAGGTCTCTCCTAGCCAGGGAGGGAGCCAGCTCAGCTCCCTCCTGCCCACAGCGTCTGCATCTGCCGTGCAGTTAGCTTGGTGAGATGCCGGCGCCCACCTGTGGCTGCCCTGTGCGTGGAGGCCCATAGGTATCACATTCTGTGATTTGGGGCTCCTTGGTGAGTGAGGCTTCTGTGTCCACCCACAGACCTGCCAGGCCCCTCCAGGAGGACCGAGGACTCTGAGGATCAGCAGGAGCAGCTCTACCAGCAGAGCCGGGCCTATGTGAGCACAAACAAGCGGCTGCGGCAGGCTAGGGAGGAGCTGCGGCAGAAGCGCGAGGACCTCCAGGTAGCGGGACAGGAGCTGGAGCGCGACGTCAGCCAGGTGACCCAGGCAGCGCTGCCAGGGACCGCAGCTACCTCCTCAGGCTGACCTGGGCCTGCAGGTCTCAGGCGGCACCTAATGCCACCACCCTGGCTCCTCCCTGGGGACCTGAGTGCCCCAGGCTGGCATTCCATCTGGGTTCCGGCACCGGGGGCCACCCGTGCTTCTCTCCTCCATCGGCAGCTACAGGTCGTGGTGTCTTCCCATGACACTGGGCTGGCAGGACCCACACCGTGGTCTCGGCTCTGCCTGGATATAGGGTGGAGAGGTTGGATGCTCTCTGGGGTTCTGTCCCCTCCTCCACTCACAACGGCCTCTGGTTGGACATGAGCCTCTGGGGCAGGGCCACCTCCTTCCTCCTTCAGGTCACTGCTCAGGGCACTGTGAACCTGGTTGCAGGAATGCGTGCTCCCCAGGAAGGGCTGGTCTGTCTGTTCACCTGGGTCCAGGTGCTGGCCAGGGGTCGGGGTGCAGGGCTGACCCGTTGACTGTGTTGGTTTCGGCCAGGTGGGCCCCCACCCTGCCTCATGTGGCCCAGGGGCCAGCCTGAGTTTCTGGCCCACCTCCTTCCCATGTTCAAGCTCCTGCCACAGATCTCGGTGGTCTCACAACTACTCTGGGCTGCTGAGGTCACTGGCTCCCAGAGAGAAGCCTGAGACTCTAGCCACACTTGGACTATGTCCCTGCGATCAGGGGATGTGCTGGCCACTCCTGCCCAGAGCCTGGCTGGGTCCTTCGTCCCTGTGCCCCGTCCCTTCTGGCCCTGTCCTCTGGGGGCACTTGGAGGCTGGGTGGGAGGGTCTTGAAAGGAGTCTTCGTCCTCAACAAACCGGCAGAGACCAGAGGAGCCACGGGCTGTGAGAGGTGGTCCACGGCCAGGCCCCAGGGATGAAATCCCCTCTGCAGAGACTGGGCTGCCCTTGTTCAGGGGCCATCCTCAGAGGGGCCTGTGTGGAGCTCTGAGTGTGGCACCGCCACAGTCCCGCAGGGGACACTGCTGGGTGGCTGGAGCCTGGCCTCGTGCCCCTCCTCCCCGCCGTTCCCCAGCGGCAGGCTGTCTCCTGAACCTCTCCCTGTGAAGGGTCACTGCTGAAGCCAGAGACTCCCTGACCGGAAGCCGTCTTGGGCCCACACTGAACCTTTGGGCTTTCTTGTGGATCACCCACCCCAAAGCTTGCTACCTGGACAGCTGAGGACAGTTCTGTTCACCTTCATGGACCCCAGCTCACCTGGGCCTGCCCAGACCTCTGCCCTGCGGCACACTGCAGCTGGCAGCAAGGACTGAGAACCAGAAACAAAGCCCCAGGTGGGCCACCTGCCTGGGGAACTGTCCCCAGGGGACCAAGGCACTCAGCCAGCCCTTCCCTGTCTCTGAATAAACATCACCACGCTTTGGTCCGGCTTCCGGGACCTGACCTGAGATGTCCACTCAGCTCATGGCTCCTGGCTCAGCACAGGGACCCATCGTGGGGCCTGTGGTCGGCACAGACAGCCCCCTCCCCCCCATCCTCGGCACAGGAACCAGGGCAGTTGAGGGCAGTTCACAGCGCAGTTTATTCAAGACGCAGAGAAGTGGACGCCTGGTGGGCATTGTCCTGCCAGACAGATGGCTTCACCTGTGGGGTGGGCAGGGCCGGGCCGGAGCTATTTACAAGTGTGTAATAGGCCTGCTGCTAGAACCCGGCTGGCAGCAGCAAGAGCCGGCGACCAGCTGCAGGTTGGGGAGGGGGGTGGGGGTGGGGTAAGCACCCAGGTGGTGGTCATCCCCTCCAACTGTGGGCCCCGTCTTCAGTTCTCTTGGGCTGGCCCCAGAATGCTCCAGAGGCCTGGGGTTGATTGTCCACGCCACCAGCTGCCCTTCTGGCTCTTGCCTTCACCTCCTGCCTGGGCAGAAGGATGCCCTGTGGCTGTTCCTGCCTCTGAAGGGGACACAGAAAGCAACAGTGGCCGCTTGGTAGGGGGCCCAGCAGGAGGTAGCAGCTGGCAGCACATGGCCCCTTGTGTACCAGCTGTGGTGTGAGCTGTGTCCAGGGCTGAGGACAGCCCCCGGGAGCCTCCCATCACAATGGCCACTGCTTGCCTGAGAGGTAGCTCCGGGAGCCCCCCCAGGGCCCACATGGAGAGACTGAGGCCCAGGCGGCCCTGTGGGCACCTGGCCTTTGAGCTGGGAAGGCTGCAGTCCATCTGCTGCTGTCCCCTCACCAACAGGCCACGCCAGGGCCCAGCTGCTTGTGGCAAGTATGAGAGGACAGGTAGGCTACAGCTGGGGACAAGGTTTCCGACGCAGCAGGCCGAAGTCCCCTCTCCCAGCCACCCCGGGGCCTTTGCTCCAGAGACTCAGAAGCCTGGCCTGGCAGGCAGTGTTCTAGGGGTGGGAATTGCATGTCCCCAGCACCTGCCGCTGGGACTGCAGTTTGGGGGTGTGGGAGCACGGCCATCCTGCCCAGCGTCCTGGGTAGGTGGGCCGTGCAGGGTGCCGTGTTTTGGAGAAGGCGCTGGTGTGTGGGGAGGACGGGGTGCCTCATCTCCAGGGTGGGGTCTGTCAACTCCCACAGAGGGGCATCCGGGGAGACTGATGTCTGCCTCCTCCCTGACCTCAGCCAGCTGTGCTGAGGACCTGCCAAGGAGGGACCATGGTGCCCATGGTGGGCAGGGGGTTCCTTCAGAGTGCCTCCCACCCAGCTGCCCAACCTGCTTCCCTCCTCCCACCCGAGGGACTTAAAACCAGCCTGCGGAACAGCACCTGCCCCTTGGGACCTGCCACCACAGATGGCTCAGCAGCAGGTCCTCTGGCAGAGTCAGGTCCTGCAGGAAAGAGGTCGCTGGCTCTCTCTGCAGGAAGATGCCCAAGCTGGTGGAACACCAGCCCCCACAGGCCTCCCTGGTGCCTCTGCACACACTGGCCCAGGTCTCCCGAGGTCTGGCTCCTGGGGCACCCTGTTAGCTTCTCTGACCACCAGGCAGCTGGGGCTGAATTGGAGCAACTGTGGCCCCCCAGGCTCCCTGTACCCCCCGACGCATCTGGCACCTTGGTACCCAGGCTCCATACCCCACCGCAAAGCCCACCTGGACGTCGGGCCCAGCCTAGGGCTACCCCTGCATGCGTAATGAAGGAGGGGAAATGGAAGGCAGAACCAGCAGGGGCGGCGGCCATCCTGGAGGAAGAGCTCCCAGTGACCACCCCTTTAAAGCACAGGTTGTAAGCCACAGCCTCCTCCAGGGACTCTCCCCTCCTCATCCATTAGGGCTGGTTCTGACTCCACTGACCACCAGGGCCGCTCGGAGGAGTGGAAAGGACCCCTGACAGTTGGCAGTGGTGGAGACAAGAGGTCAGCCCTCCCCGGCACCTTTTCTGTCTACAGAGGCCTGCCTGGCCCCCATTGTCATCCCCCACTCGGTGCAAGGGCCAGGCTGACCTGGCTGTCCTCTCGTGGCAGCCCCTAGGATGGCTGCTCCCAGCTTCCAGAGCTGCAGTCTGTGGGGCTCAGCCGCACCCTCACCCGGGCTCCCTCACAGCTGGGCTCCGAAGGCAAACAAACCAGCCAAGCCGTCATTAACAAATTACCAGAAGCAGTAATTACAGGCCTCACCCTGCACGGCAGATGCCTGGGCCCCAACTGGTAGGCAGTCAAGCCACCCTCCCCCAGCTGGTCCCCACACCTTGGGGGACACTGCCTACTCTCCTGAGGACTGCCCAGGTGCACAGAACAAGGCGACCCAGAGGCTGTCCCACCTAGCCCCCAGGTGAGCCTCCGCACGGTGGCTCCGCAGAGGCAGCTTGAGGTCTGTGCTAGTGACCCGCTTCCCGTCCCGCCCGACCTGGGCTGAAGGGCCGAGCCTTTCCCATGGAGCCCCGCGGTGCACAAGCAAGGTCCTGGCCTAAGCGAGGCTGATGGCGAGGCGGTGGCCCTGCACAGCCTGCTCAGAGCATCTACGGAGCGGGCCGCGGGGCAGCCAGACCGGCCGCAGGGCCAGGAGAGATTTCTGGACGCCGGCCCAGGCCGTTATTCCAGGAGGCTGGCAGGGGCGGTGGCCGCCGCTTTCTCTACAGCCGAGTCGTTGGAAGCTGCCGAGGCCATGGGGCTGGGCACGTAGTTGAAGGGTGGGACCCGGGCGGCGCGGCTGGGGGAGCCGTGCCGGCTGGCGGGGAAGCCCCCGACAGCGACCCCCGGGCCCTCGTGGACGAAGGGGACGGAGGCAGATGCCTTGGCGGAGCCGGGCCCGTCCACCTCGCTGCCCAGGCCGGCGGCGCCTCCCGCGGGGACCTGCGGTGGGTCTCTGCTCTCCAGACTCGGAGAGGTGCTGGAGTTGGTCTTGGGGGCGGCCACCTCTTCCGTCTGCACCACAGCGTCGCTGGTCTTGCGCTGCGGGGTCCCGACCGGGCCCTCCTCGGGCGAGGCGCCCCGGAGCGGCAAGGCGGTGGCGGGCAGGGTGCTACGCAAGATGTGCGGGACGTCCTCGTCCCGGATGCGCCGCCACGTGGTGCCCGGCGCCGCCACCCTGGGCAGCGGCCTGGCCTCCCCGTCGCTGCTGCGGCGAGTGGCGTCGGCGGGGGCCGGGCACCCGGCGACGCCGCCGTCGGACCTTCGGGCCACGCTGATGTGCGGCAAGGAGGCGTAGCGCTTGACCGCCTCGGGCCGCGGGACGGGCGCGCGCACGGGCAGGCGCGACGGGCTCTCGGAGCTGGTGCGTCGGGGCGCGCGCGGGCCGGGTCCGGGGCTGGGCCCGGGGCGCGCGGCGGGGGAGCGCTGAGGGGCTGGGGGCTGCCGCGGGGCCGCCCGCAGCTCGTCGCAGCGCGAGGAGCAGAGGAACACCGCCGGGAGCGCGGGCCGGCCGCGGCGGGGTGAAGCGCCTTGGGGGACGGAGGCTGCGGACTCTGTTGAGGACAGTTCGGAGCGGCGTCGACGCAGCAAGCCCGGCGACTCCTTGATGAAGGTCAGCTGCCGCCGGAATCCCGAGCGGTCGGAGGACTCGCTGCCGCTGGAGCGGGCCGAGGCCACGCGCACCAGGCCCAGGCGGCCCCCGCGCGTCCCCGGGACTCCCTCGGCTGCCGCCCGGCTCCTGGGACCCGGCTCTGGGGTTGCCCTGGCTAGCGGCGGCGGCCCCCGTCTAGCCGGCCTCTGCATGAACGGGATCCGCACGGGCGACTTTTGTGTCTTGTGTTGCTTGGCCAGAAGGGCCCGAGCAGGCGTCTTGGGTAGCGGGGTCGCCTCGGGGCCAGGCAGGGGACCTGCAGCCGAGGTGGCCAGAGGGGACTTCCTGGGCAGGGGCTGGGAAGCGGGAGAGGTCTGGGAGGAGCTGGAGGATGGGGTCTTGGCCAGGCGGGCAGGTGGTGTGGCGCTCCTAGGTGGGCGGCTCAGTTCTGCCAGCTCTGAATTCTTGCCAGGCCGGTGCAGGCTCCGGGACCGCTGCTGCCCAGGGTTGGAGGCTCTGGCCTTGGCCTCTGGCTGTGTGGGGCCAGGGTTCCCCATTTTCCTGGGTGTGGCACGGGGGCCAGGGATGCCTTTGGGCTGGGCTCGATGGGCAGGACTGGGCACATAGATCACGGTGCGACCCCGAAGGACAGCAGGCCCCTCAGGCACAGTCTTCTGAGCGAGGTGCCCCTTCTCAGGGCCTGCAGGTGAGCGGGGGCTCCCACTGCTCTTGCTTATGGCCAGGCCCCGTTTCTCTGGCCGCTGGGCACTGCCCACCTTGGCCCCTGCTCCGGGCTGTCTCCCCTTCCTGTGCTTGGAGGGCGGCAGGGTGGGGCCCCCTGACAGCCCAGACACCAAGGACAGGAGGGAGTCAGATTCTGAGGAGGCCTCCATGGTGGCCGCTGCCGCCGCCTGGTGCAGCCACGTAACAATGGAGTTGGCCCCGTCCTGGATGGCTTGCCACTCCACGCTGTCCAGGTCCGAGGCTGGGTCTGAGCCTGCCACCTCCTCACTGCACCCCTGAGGTACCTCTGCTGGCCGGATGTCCAGCCGTGTGACTCGGGGCTTGCGACGCCGAGGGCCTGAGGCTTGGGGCCGCCGCCTAGGCATGGCTGAGCCGATGCACCTCCGCAGTAGCTCCTCCTCAGCCCGTGGGCTTGGGGAGCTCTCTTGTCCACTGCTCGGGCCTGGGTCCTTGGTGACTGCTGGCTCCTGACCTCGTGGACCACTGGCTGGCCGCTCGGAGAGCTCGGGCTCACTGAGGGAGCTGGCCGAGGAGCTCAAGGAGTAGCAGGGGGGAGTCTCATCCGCGATCAGCCTGGGTTGGGCCCTTGCAGGTGGCGGGACAGTTGAGGGGAGCTTGGATGGGGCCCGGGCCTCCTTCCTACCCATCAGGCCCTCCCGTTTTAGAGCGCGGGGTATAGCAGATGCCCTCTGGGGGGCTGGAGCTGTGGCTGCCGGCTCCAGGTCCTCATCAGAGTCGCAGAAGCAGTACACAGCCTCCTGGGTGGGCGTCGTGAGGCACAGCGACTGCAGCCCTCCGTCCCCGCTGGACCGGCCCTGGCGCGAGGCCTCTCTGTCGGAGTGCGCACTCAGGGGCCTGCTGAGGGGTAGCTCCAGCCCTGCCCGATTCCTGCCTGTGCCCCAGGACTGCTCCATGCTCTTGCCAATGCCCCCGGCCTTGGTCTGGTGCCCGGCTGCCTGCCTGGTAGGGGCTGCAGGACCTGTGGGTTTCTGCCTGTCTGCCGCCTCCCGGGACTGGGCCCTGGGGGGACCCTGCAGGGTCTCATCGCTGAGGGAGGCAGCACTGGAGAAGTTGACAGGTGTGCCCTCAGCTGAGTCGGTGCCAGAGTCATCGTCCCGGGCTGGGGCAGGCAGCAGCATGTAGACGGGCACTGGCAGCGCCCGGCGGCCAGGCACCAGAGCCGAGGCTACCTTGCGGAGCCGAGCTGGCACAGCGGCCCCCAGGCACTCTCGAAGCAGCTCCAACTCCTGATCAGCAGCTGCACGGGCTCGAGAGCCTCCTGGTGCTGGTCCTTCTGGGCGGCCACTGGCCTCATCTCGGCGGCGATGGCCCCCGCCCCCACTCCGGTCAGGGCAGGCGGGCGGCCTCAGCCGCAGCTCCACGTCCTGCTGCACGTAGAGCTCATGCAGAGCCAGGGCGCTGAGGCTGGACGCACAGGAGAAGTTCTCGTCTGGCTTCTCCACGGTGAAGCGCACACTGCCCGCGTCCAGCTCAGAGGGCGGCCGGCAGCGCTCGCGGCAGTCGGCAATGTCCAGAAAGCGCTTGACGTAGCTCTCCCACTGCAGGCTGAACTGGCTGGCCTCGGGCTGGCCCGATGGCACCGGCGGTGTCTTGCTACGGCTGGGTGGCATGGTCTGCCCGGGGCTGTCGGGCAGCTCACTGGGGCTGACCGTGCCGCTGCCCAGACCACTGCAGGGGTCACTAGGGATGGAGCTGGCGATGGAAGGGCTCTCAAAGCTGCCCAGAGAGCTCACTGAGCTGCAGCGGCTCAGCACCAGGGGTGTCTCTTGCACGCAGTTCTCTGAAGAGCTGGAGGGTGTGGCATCTTCCACCCCCAGGCCCCGGCCGCGGCTGTGGCGGGGTGCGGGAATGGCCACTGGCAGCGAGGTAGACCCAGGCCCCCTCCATGACCCATCCAGCTCAGCCTCCCCAGGGCCAGCTTCCTCCAGCCCCTCCAGGGAAGAGTCACTGTCATCCAGGTGGCCACCCTCACTGGGGCCAGGGTGGCCGGCTGAGGACAGTGAGGACAGTGAGCTGCAGCGCGAGAGGGACAGTGGCCCCTCCTGGGCCACCAGCCTCTGCAGCACCTTGCTGGCCATGGGCACCGGGGCAGCCGCCAGCTTCTCGGGCACTGTGCTCAGGCCGTCTGCCGGCACCCAGGCTTGCTTTCGAGCCCCCGGGGAGGCCCCAGGCTGAGCCAGGGGCCGTGACCCCGTCCCGGCTGCCCCTTCAAGCAGTGGCACATGCTGATAGGTGGGCGACAGCTTGATGGTTCTGATGCGGGCATCAGCAGCTGCGATGTCCCTGGCAGGTGGCTCAGCCTGGCTCCCTGGCAGGTTGAGGTCCAGCCGGCTGGGCCGCGCCTGCCCGTTCAGGGGGTCCTCACGGTGCTCAGCCAGTGCAGCCAGTGGACAGGGCTGCAGGTGCTCCCGTGGGCAGTACCCGTCGCTGGTGCTGCCGCTGTTGAGGCTGTCGTGGGAGAGGCTGGCGTGCGCTGCCTTGAGCCGCAGCAGCGGGTGGGCCCGGCTGCTGGCCTCCCTCCTCCCACCCTCGGGGACCCTGCCAGGCGAGCAGGATGGGGCCCGGCCCTCCCTCGGCGCCTCCTGCCCTGGGTCCCCAGAGCTGAGGCTGAAGCTGTCATCGGAAGAGGTGTGCAGGGCGGAGATGTCCTCCACCAGCCGGTCGATCCGGGCCACCGCCAGCGCCAACTTGGCCTTGGCTTTGGCTGCCACCGTGGCCTCCCCACCAGCCTCCTTCTCAGGCTCCCGGCTGCTGTGGCGGACGGGCGGGGTGCGGGCCAGGGCCTGTCCCTGAAGGAGGGGGCTGCCCAGGAACAGAGACAGTACGGCTGGGCTGGCAGGCTCGGCGGCAGCGGCCGTGGCCGCCAGGGAGGGCGCATCGTCGTCGTCAAAGCAGCCCGAGTCCGAGGCATAGTCCTGGGCCAGGCCGTCCAAGTGACGCAGGGACGGCAGCGGCTTCGTGGAGGTGGGCTCCGTCTCTGGCTCAGGCAGGCCCTGCTTCTCCAGGTGACCAAGGGCCTGTGCCAGGTGCCTGGTGTCCAGCTCAGCCTCCAGCGCCCGCTGCTTCCGCACGTACAGGCTGGGCACACAGGTGCCGGGGGAGACGGCCGTGGCCGCTGCCTGGTACTTGGCAGGCCGGTGGGCCAGCAGGTTGCGCAGGGCAGCCGCGCTGCCCATGGCGATCATCTTGTGCTTGGAGTGCACCAGGTTCCGCAGCATGCCCACGGCCCCCAGGTCCCACAGGAGCTCCTGGTCACGGGGGCTGCGAGCCGAGAGGTTCCAGAGCGTGCCGCAGGCGTTGCTCACGATGGTCAGGCTGTGCGAGGTGAGGTGCTGCAGCAGCGTCTGCAGGCAGTTGTGGTCCCGCAGCACCTGCCTGAGCGGGAGGGAGGGAGGTCAGCCCCGCAGGCCCCGCCCGGTCCTCGGGACCAGAGGGCACTGAAGGAGCGACTTTTTGGGGGAGGGAGTGCTGGAGATTGAACCCCGGGGCACTCAACCACTGAGCCACATCCCAGCCCGTTTTTTCCTTTAATAATTTTAGTTGTAGATAGACAAGATACCTTTTTTTTTTTAATGTGCTGCTGAGAATCGAACCCAGTGACCCACATGTGCTGGGCAAGCGCTCAACCACTGAGCCACAACCCCCAGCCCTTTTTATATTTTATTTTGAAACAGGTTCTGACTATATTGCTTAGAGCCTCACTGCTGAGGCTGGCTTTGAACTTGCCATCCTCCTGCCTCAGCCTCCCCAGCCACTGGGATGCACCACCACGCCTGGCAAAATGAGTCATTTTTAACAAGTAGGTACCACCACACCCTGCAAATAATATATACATTATATTAACATATTAATTATCAATATATCATATATATAAAATAAAACCTAGAGCTGGGTGTGACCTCTGTGATCCTACGACTCGGGAGACTGATGCAGGAGGATCAGTAGTTCGTGGGCAGCCTCAGCAATTTAGTAAGACCCTCCCTGTGTCAAAAATAAAAATAAAGGGCTGAGGAATGTGGCTCAGTGGTACAGCACCCCTGGGCTCAATCCTCGGTACCAAAAAGAATTTTTTAAACATACATGTGTGGGTCTGGGGTGCAGTCCAGCTGGTAGAGCGCTTGCTCCCCATGGATAAGGCCCTGGGTTCAATCCCCAGAACCACCAAAACATACATCTGTGTGTGTGTATTATCTATTAGGGGGGTCACATTTAACAAGTATTTATCTTAATATAACTTTAGCACAAATATCCCATGTAATATTTGGAAAATTCCTATATTAAAAATAAATCTGGGGGCTGGGTTGTAGCCCAGTGGTTGAGCGCTGGCCTCTCATGCATTAGGCACTGAGTTCAATCCTTGGCACCATGTAAAAGTAAATAGAATGAAGACATTGTGTTCATCTACAACTAAAAAAAAATTTCAAAACATAGATTTTATGAATCTTCTGAAGTAAATACTATTATTTTTTAAATAGTTCAATTTTTAAAATATCTTTATTTTGTTTATTTATTTTTATGTGGTGCTGAGGATCGACCCCGGGTCTCACATGTACCAGGCGAGAGCTCACCTTGAGTACAACCTCATCTCTGAAGTAAATATTATCGGTACTGAGTAATTAAAATGTAAATATTTTGTTATTTATTATTATTATTTTGGTATGGGGATTGAACTCGGGACACTGGACCACTGAGCCACACCCCAGCCCTATTTTGTATTTTATTTAGAGACAGGTATCAGTGAGTGCCTTGCTGTTGCTGAGGCTGGCTTTGAACTCGCAATCTGCCCACCTCAGCGCCCCCCAAGCTTCCAAATAATACATTTTGGTTTTAATAATAGTGTAAGTATGTACCATCCAGTATTTAGGATGTACTAATGTTGCTAAAATTAAATGTGATTTTCATAAATAATAGGTATTTTATTAATATTATTTATCAAATACTGATGTTATGGAGATGTCACTTATTAATATGACTTAACAAGTAATACTTTTTAGTTTAATGAATATTTTAGCATTTTAGTACAAGTATATCCCATGCAGTATTTGTGATATACTAACTAAATGTGTATTCTATTTTCATAAATAATAGATATTATTTATTAAACAAAGAATATTTGGGGTGGGGTAAAGCTTACTGATAGAGGGCTTTCCTAGCATGTGAGAAGCCCTGGGATTGATTCCCAGCACCAGAAATAAATATTTTGAAGTAATTAAATATTTCGGGCTGGCATAGTGGTGCAGGCCTGTAACTCCAGTGACCCGAAGGCTGAGACAGGAGGACGCAAGTTTGAGGCCAGCCTCAGCAATTCAGTGAGAATTTAGTATTTATTGTTTTTCAGTCGGATGCATTATCTTTATTGACTCTCCTGAGGTGCCGAGGATGGAACCAGGGCGAGCTCTACCGCTGCGCCACTGCCCAGCCCCATACAAGGAAAAACCCTAAACTATGAAAGGAGCTGGTCGAAATCCCCGGTACCAAAGGAATGTCGTCCCTCCTTAACGGGGAATGCCACCCTTAACTCTAACAGGAGATTGCAAACGTTCATTTTGTCGTCGGTTCATGTTGGCGCGGTGCCGAGGGTCGCGCCAGCGCCCGGGCTCCCCCAGCTCAGTGCGTCGCAGCGGGAGGACACCCAGGTCACGCCGGGGCTCACCTGCCCTGCGCCCTGAGTCCCTGGGGCGTCGTGGGGGCGCCGATCACCTGCCCTGGTTCTGTCCACCCGCCCCGGCCGGCGCCCCCGGACCGCGGGGCGGGGCTGACCTGTAGTCCTCGCGGGTGGCGATGAGGCTGGACACGTTGCGCAGGATGCCGCCGCCGCTCTCGATGACCGCCAGGGAGTTGCCCTGGCACCGGTAGGTGAGCGTGCTCACCAGGAAGCCCAGGGCGCCGTCCACCTGGCAGATGGCCGCCTTGTTCTCGGTGCTGTGGGCCGACAGGTTCCACAGGGCGCTGAGCACGCTCTTCAGGGTGGACTCCTGGGCACAGGGAGCGGGGTCAGCACGGCCAGGGCCCCGAGAAGGGGCCGGTTTCCAGCCACAGTCAGATTCCTAAACTCAGCTCCATGGGCCTGCGAACCACAGGGCTGGCCACTCCAGGTCCAGCTGCGGCTGGACCACCTGCTGAGCAGGTCTGGCTTGACCCACCCCGCCCAGGCCAGGGTCTCCCTGCCCCGCAGGGGCCCTCCCCAGCGCCCACCTTGGAGGCCCGCAGGACACACTGCGTCAGTGCGGTCATGCTGCCAACCTCCCGCAGCACCTTCTTGCTGTTGATGTCCGCCCTCCAGGACAGGTTGCGCAGGATGCTGGACACCACCTGGGGCAGATGAAGGCAGGGGTGGAACCCAAGCAGCCCCACACCCCAAGCCAGGTCAGAGCCTGCCCCGGGGGGCTGGCAGAGAGCCCCAGCCCCGGCTCCTCCAGGCTCCACCCACCTGGTGCAGCTCCTCACTGTCTGAGTCCAGCTGGGCCACGATGGCCTCCATGCAGCCCCGATGGGCACACAGAGTGGCCTGTTGGGGGTGACATAGGACAGTCACCATCACAGCGACTGGGCAGAGGCATGAGGTAGACCCCCCCTTCCTAGCTGCACCCCACTGTAGGGACGATTTAACCAGCTGTTGGGGCCAGGAAATTGGGGCCCAGACAGGGGCAGGCACAGGCCTCGCAGAGCCAGAGGCCCCTGCTGTGCCATGAGCTCAGGCCTCCGGCAGGCGTGGAAGCTGGACTGGAGAGGACACTGCCTAGCCCAGCATGCCCCTCAGCCCTGGCCCTCTCTGGCCTCTGTCTCCCGTCTGTAAGTTGGGAGTGACCATCCTTACCCTTCTTAAGGCTGGCCAGAGGTGGGAAGAGGCCAAGATAGTCTCTGGAACCCTGGCTGGGACAGCAAGGACCCCACCGCCCACCATCCCTGGGTACCTTGTTGGCCACATCCCCGAAGGTGAGGTTGGTGAGGGTCATGCCGGCATAGCGGCGCAGGGCGAGGTTGAGCGGGTCCCGGGTCATCTTGTGCATCTCATAGTCCACCTGCAGCAGCTCTGCTACTGCCTGCAGCCCACCTGCAGGGACCCAGCGAGGCTGGCCAGTGAGGCCACCTGGCTGGAAGTCCAGCACCCCCACCCCCTCCCATCCCTGCTGACAGGCTGGTGGGTCCCTGGGGCCTCAGTGCCACACCTGCCTGTCTGCCCCCAGCTCGGGGCATAGATGCCCCAGTGGCTGGCCCCTGAGACAGAGCCACCCTCTGCGGGGACCACTCCTTCCTGCCTGCTTGCCAAGGTCCCCAGCTCCTCCTGGGAAGGAAGGGAGCCTCCCTCTCCCAGAGAAGACCCAGACCACAGGTGGGGAGCTGCGTCCCAGAACCCCGGTGGGGTGACTGTCCAGCCCCACTGCCCCTCACCAGGAAAGCAGGTTCCGCTTCACAGGAGACTAACTGGACATGGGGGGCAGTCCCTGGGAAGTAGGGAGAAAGCCTTGCAATGAAACCCAGAGCCTTCCCCAGTGCCCGGCAGGTGTGACAGGCAGCTCTGGGCATTCTCCAGCCTTCAGGGACAGCCTTTGAGGGAATAAGTTAAATAAAAACTCTTGAAGTGAAAGGTGTGCCCCGTGTACACGGCAGCATTGTCCAAACGCAATGACAGGCGGCAGCGCCAGGCCGCCATCCACAGGGGAACTGCGCACCCTCAGACCCACAGACGGAATAGCTTGCTGGGGGCCGGCTGGGAGGGGCCTTGGAGTTGAAAGGGACTGCATTCCATTGGGGAGGGAGCAGTGGGGGGGGTGGCTCTGCAGCCCTCTGGATGTGCGTGACAGACAAGCTGAGTTGTTTGCTTAGAAATGGGGAAAATGGTACATTTTATGTTATGTATCACAACTTACAAAAGAAGATATATGTATTCGAAATTGGGAAGGGGGAAGCTTCTTCTTAAGCCTTTATGATATTTAATCTAGAAATCTCACTCCAAGGAACTCATATGAAGGAAAGAAAATACAAATATGGAAAAAGCCTCTGATCTGGGCTGTGGGTGGCAGTGTTATTGCTGGTGCTAACCTAAACATCCAGCTGTTGGGGATTAGCCTCATACATGGAGTCCTAAACAGAACAAGAGGCTAGGTTCTCATTGCCTTACCCCAGCGGCAGGCCAGTATCTTGGTCTCAGTACCCCTATGACTCATGATATTTTTTGAGGATCCAAACAAATTTGTTATGTGGTTTATAACCCTCAATATTTACGGTACTAAATATTAAAGTGGATTTTAATAAACCCCAGAACTCACAGCCCAGTGGTTATCAGGACAGGAGCTCCCAGAGAGCCTTGCTGAACACCGTCGCAGCGAAAGAGAAGAGTGTAAAGGAAAAGTCCTATCTCCATGTTACTTCCCAAATAATGAGGCCTATGGACCTCCCAGAATGGTCTCAGGAACCTCAAAGAACCCCACTTTGAGAAATGCCCCCCCTTTTTTGTATCAGGGATTGAACCCAAGGGTGCTTAACCACTGAGCCACATCCTCAGCCCTTTTTATTTTTATTTTGAGACAGGGTCTGGCTGAGTTGCTAAGGACCTCACTGAGTTCCTGAGGCTGGCTTTGAATCTCCTGTTCCAGCCTTCCAAGCTGCTGGGAGTACAGGTGTGTGCCACTGTACCTGGCGAGAATTTTAACAGCTGAATTATGTGCCATGTATTTAGCCAATCTCCTACCATTAGACACTCAGTTATTTCTGGTTTTCTGATTTTATTTAACTTGGGTGTTGCCTTTGCTTTTCGGCAACTTGTACATCCTGGCTGGGAAAGGGATGGTGATTCAAAGGGTGAACAGACTTTATCATGTGTCTAATGTTGCCAAATACCCCTCCAAAAAGCTCACCCCAATTTCCTTTAACCATGAGATTTTATGAAACACTTGAATGTCTGAACCATCTGCAGGTGTAAAGTTGTATCTCACTTTGTAAAACATAGAGTATAACTGAGAAGGCCCTTGGGATTTCTGACCTTTGATATTTTCTGTTCTGTTTCCATCAATCTTAATTTTTTTCTTTCTTTTCTCTTTTTTTTTTTTTTTTTTTGCAGCTCTGGGGACTGAATCCAGGGATGCTCTACCACTGAGCTCTCATGTTATTTGGAGACAGGGTCTTACTGAGTTGTATGGGTGGTCTTGAACTTTCCGCACTCCTGCCAGTCTCCCGAGTGGCTGCGATGACAGGCCTGAGCTGTCACACCCACCTACATGACTTTTTCTTTTTTCTTTCCTCCTTTTTTCTTACTTTCTTTCTCCGTCCCTGTCCCCCCAATGCTGGGGATGGACCCAGGGCACCTGCAGGCTGGGCACATGCTGTCCAGCTGAGCCCCAGCCCCCCAATTCCTTTGCTGTTGACAGAGAAAGCTGTCATGCCCCAGAGCTGACACGCGGGCTGGGGATGTGGTCAGTGGTAGAGCACTTGCCTGGCACATGTGAGGCCCCGGGTTTGGTCCCCAGCATGACAAGTCAGGACAGAGAAGAAAGCAAGCTAAAACTGCACACGGTCAAGACCCCACTGGGTCCCAGAGCACACCTGCCCCGACAGCTCCCACTATGTGCACTAACTGGGGTCTTTCACCTTTGGACTTCCTCCAGACCCCGGATGTGAACCCCAGGACAGTTCCCACTGAGACCCTGCTCTGGGCAGGAGGCTGAGAGGCCACCGGCTAAACGGGAAGAACAGCGTGACAGTGTGCAACCTCATGGGGACAAGGACCCAGGATGACTGCTCAATCACAGCAGGTGCTTTGTGAGTCCAGGGAGTTCTGTCCCTCTCTGGACCTCACTGTCCAGCTCAAAGTAGACAAACATAGATGACCCAGCCTTGGTCCCACAGCTATGCCGGGGCTGGACGAAGGCTCCCAGACAAGGCTTAGGGGACACTCACCCAGCTCATTCATGGCACGGCGGTATTCCTCATCAAAAGACAGCTTCATCACCGCACAGGTGGCCTGGCAGATCTGAGGCTCGATGGGGACAGGAGCTGTAGAGGAGGGATGGGGTCAGAGAAACGCCCCCAGGTGACCCCTGAAGGTCCCCGCGTGCCTGCAAGAATCCTGGGAGCTTGGCAAACTGGACATGCTGGGCGCTGCCAGAGCGGCAGTCCCTTTGGCATCCACTCTCAAATGCCCAGGAGGTCGCCCGTCTCACCAGGCCTTGCATAGGAAGATGGATATGCCTGGCGCTGGGCACACTGTTTTAGCTGCGCCTTTGTCCTATGCTAGCTTTGCCATCGGCTGCAGAAAGTAGCAATCAAAATGTGCCCCTGACCTGGGGGATTATCCACCCTCCGCCCCTTAAGGCAGAGCATGCGTAAAGAAGGGCCCCCCGCCAGTTGTTCCGTGGTGTGGAAACCCGACGCGCACACTCACTGCTGCCGGGGCCATCTCCCTGGGGCGCCGCGTCCCGCGCCTGCAGCCAGTCCCAGCAGGTCTCGCAGTAGGCCCGGATCTGCTCCAGCACGTGCAGGACGCGCATCTCCTTGCGCGCCAGGCCCTGGTCCGGCTGTGAGAAGACGATGTTGTGCAGCGCGGCATTGGCTCGCATGCGTGCGTCCTTGGCACCCAGCGCACCAGGGGTCCCGCTGTGACCCCCGGACGCTGCCTCGGCGCCATGGAGGATCTGCAGGAGCAGCGGCAGGCAGCCTGAGCGGCGCATGGCCACGCAGCTCTCGGGCGAGCTGGACATGGCCAGCAGCGTTCGAGCTGTGTCCTCCTGGTCGCGGGTCGCCAGCATGGACAGCAGCCAGAAGACCACCTCCACCTAGGGTGAGGACCGGGCAAGGGTAGCGTCATGGTGGAGATCCAGTTGCCTCCCGCAGCCCAGACAGTCCACTTGTCCACTCTCTGCTGTATGACTCCCCTAAAGAAGCTGAAGTCCTGGGACCCCGGCCAGGGGCACTGCTGGCAAAGCCACATTCCTCCCGCCTGCAGGCACCCAAGCACGACCTTGGGTGTAGATGGAGGACATGCGGGGCACACACACACTGCAGAGATGCCCTGGGTCCAGGAGAGCCAAATGCCCACCCCACGGGCCTCCCTGGGCAGTCTTGCCCCCACCTCAACAGGCCTGCAGCCCACATGCTGGCCCCCTCCACCTTCACCTCAAGTGCCACTACGGAGCCACTCTCCTGACTGTACCAGAGGGACGGATGGACACGGGGAGGGCTCCACCTGCTGGGTCCACCTCAGCCCAACTGGCTGCCCACCCCTCTGGTTTCCTCTTCCGACTCACCTTGCTGTTGCCTGGCTGAGGGTTGCCATCCTCAGGGTGCGCGGGGACCTCCGTGTCTGGGTCCTCCTCCACGGGCACTGACTTCACGGCCAGCAGCGCCTGCAGGGAGCACACCAGGCCGGGGTTCAGCCTGGGTGCACCCCACAAAGCACCCAGTCTGCTGATGCTGTCTTCTCCCCCATGATAATGTGGGTGGGGTGCAGACTGATTCCTGTGCTCCAGAAGGGTGCTGGGGGTCCCCAGGCAGCCTGGAGCCCCGCCACCCGCGGGGACCCTGGCTTCCCTCCTCCGGTACCTGGGGCTCCGTCTGCTGCACCCGGTCCTGTGCCTCCAGCAACTCCCTGTCAATCTGCTCCAGGCGTGAAGCGCGGATCTGCAGGGGAGGAGAGAACACGCTGCCACCGGCACACGGGGCGACCCCGCCTCCAGCCCTGACGCCGCCTTCTCCCTGGCGGGACCCTGACCCTGACCCCGCCTCCTGAGTCAGACCCCGCCCTCAGAAGTCCGATCTGGGGTTCCTCCTCTGGCAGCCCCGCCCACTCATCTCTGCCCCGGATCCGCCCGCCGGCAGGTGGCCCGGCCGCACCTGAGCGCGCTGCACCATCTCGTCCGAGGTGCCAAAGCGCTCCTCCATCAGCGAGCGGATGTGCTGGGCCTCGAACTCCAGCTGCTGCCGGATCAGGTCCATCTGCATCGAGAACTGCTGGGAAGGGTGGGCGGGCTGCCGTGAGGGGTGCCCAGGCCAGGGCCTCCCCCTGCCGGCCCGCCGCGGGTGGCCCTCACCCCAGCCCCAGCCCCGCTCACCGTCTCCACGTGCGGCAGCTCGTCCAAGCGCTTGGACAGGCCCTGCAGCTGTGAGTAATACCAGAGCTTCTCCTTCTCCTCCTTCTCGATCTCACTCAGCAGGAAGCACCTGGGGGCGGTTGGCAGAGGGGGCTGTACGTGAGGTGTTTCTTTTAACTTTTTAACAAATCTTTTTTAAAATTTTTTTAGTTATACATGGACACAAATTTAGTTATTTTATTCTTACATGGTGCTGAGGATCGAACCCAGGGCCTCGCATGTGCCAGGCAAGCGCTCTGCACTGGGCCCAGCCCCAGCCCCAGCCCTGTTTCTTTTGATTTTATCATCACTTCTTGGGCACTGAGATGAAGGCAGTATGGCAATATCTCCCCGAGGGGCTCCCAGGACTGGGTTGGGGTGCAGAAAACTGGCTAAGAGGAGAGAAGGCAAGTCCTCCTAGACTCCCGGCCTTGGGGACACGGCTGGGGCTGCCTGGGGCTGACGGGGCTCTGCCCCTCTCAGATGCTTGCTAATCTCCCTCCAGCTCACCGGCGGATTCCCATTTTACAGGGAAGTCTGCCGCTGGGCCGGCTGGGGGCTCTGAGCTCATCTGAAGGCTGCTCGGACAGTGCCCCACCTGACTCCCCCAACCCAGCGAGGCCAGCTGGGCCCGGGCCCAGCTTTCTTGGGCTGCATCCCTCTTTGTACAAGGACTGCCTTGACGCACCCTGGCTGCAGGCCTGATTCTGAGCCCTGGCATGGGACACATTGGTCCCTAGAGACGCCTGACTGTCGGGGACCCTGGGGGCATCTGCCAGGAATGCCACAGCCTCTGCCCTCCCACTGAGGTCTGCTGGGCTGGAGGAGCCACACTGAGGAGGCCAGGTACAGAAGCCGTGGGGCTCTGCAGGCGGGGCGGTGGACAGAGTGTTGGCGGTGCCCAGGTCAGGTTCCCGCAGCCTCTCACCGCTCCCGGTCCAGTTCCTCCAGCAACCTGATGGTGGCCCTGCTCAGCTCCCCGAAGCTGTCCTTGGATGGCCCAGAGCCGTGGACCGGGCTTCCCTCTGGGGTCCGGGCAGCGGGCTCCGGGCCCAAGGCAGGTGGCTGGAACTTGAGGTTGTACAAGCTGGCGATGTCCATTTGGAGAGCTGGGTGGGCAGGAGCACCAGGACGCAGGTCAGAGCCCCTCCGGCCCCAAGGCCCAGCTCCCTGTGGGCGGGCCCAGCACCACCCTCACCTTTCAGCTGCTCCAGCACCTCGGTCTGCCCTGAGGACACCAGCACCCGGGCCTCCTGCTCCAGCTTCCCCTGCAGGCGCTTCAGGACCTCCTGCGGCAGGGATGACAGCCTTGGGCACAGCGCCCACCCAGACCACCCAGGCCCGCCTGCCTCCCGGGCTCTGGTGCTCCTGCTCTTCCTGTGACCCAGCCATGCCCTCCGTCCAGCCCCCACCTTCATGCCTGAGGTCTCCGTCTCCAGCTTGGACAGGTGGCTCGAGTTGTCCCGAAGTTCCTGCCTCAAGTGACTGTTCTCGGCCTTCAGGGCCTCCACCTGCCGCACCAGCTGCTCATAGGACGCCATCGAGCTGGTCATCTTCAGCTCCTGCAGCACCTGGGGCCACAGCATCAGAGGGCTCAGCCTATGTGCCCTGTGGACAGCCCAAGAGCTGAGCCCCTCCTACCCATGGGGGTGTGGATCCCTGGTGGGAGGGGCTGGCCTGGGGCATCTGGGGGCAGACACACAGGGTGAGAAGAGGAGAGGGAGGGCAGGGCCATTCCATGAACACCTGCCCCTCCACTGCAGTCTTCTGGACACCTGTGCTGACAGCTAAGCAGATAGACAGATGGACACTGAAGGTGCTGACAGTCCAAACCAGTAGGTGGACTAGCCAGCCCGAGGCCACAAGCTCACAGACACAGCCAGAGAGACTTCCAGACAGGACTCTCCTCTGCAGAAACGCAGCCTGCCCAGAGGCTGATCGCCAGAGCGATAGGTGGACAGGTTAGCTGGCCCAGCTGATGGACAGTGAGAATACCATGAAGGTCAATGAGCAATGCATAAGAAAGCCATGGGCAGGTGCTGGTGGGGAGGCTTTTGCAGCCGGACCACAGGGCAAATTGGTTCCAGCCCTCCAGGACCTTTCCAAGGGTCTGGACCCAGACCCCTGCAGGCCACCCACCCGCCTCAGTGGTAGCTACCTCACTGGCTGGGCACCCTCCCCTCTGCCCTTGGCCAGCCTCAGTGGCCCCAGAGCCCCTCCTGCTGGCTCTGCCACTGCCATCTGCTCCTTTCTGCCTCTGGCTGTCTTCCCCAGGCTGGTCTGGCCACCCCTCTCTGCCCAGGGCCCCCTCCTGCACTCCCTCTCCCTCTTTGTTCCCTTCCCATCAGCGCTGCCTGCCCCTCCTTCCGCCTTTGTCTGAGGAGCACCAATGGCGATCCATCCCTTCCACCAGCTCCTCCTTGGAACCCCTCCCCTGCCAGCCGAGCCCCCGTCAGCTCTGCCCGCTGGGGGCATCTGTGCCTGTGCCCCTGCCTGGCCCTGCCTCTTCATTCTCCTCCTCCTCCACCCCAGTCACCCTGGGTACAGCCGCCTGGACGAGGGGCGGGTGCCTCAGCCCCAGATGAGGGCTGTGCTCAGGCGCCCAGCCTGTGGGGGGCCTACTGTGTGCCCGGCCATATTCTCTGACTTCTTCCTTGTCATGGTCCCACACCTTGGGGACCATGGTTAGGCTTTCCCAGGGGAGACAGAAGCAATGAGGCAGTGGGCAGGTGACTGGAGCCCAGACCCTGTCCGTTTAGAAGTCCCAGCAGTGCCCGTGGCAGGACAAGACCCTGTTCCATGTGAGGGGAGCCCGGGCTGATGGCAGGGTCAGGTGGGAGGGTCAGAGGGCAGAAGGGCCAGTTGGAATGGAGACAGCCAGGGATGACAGCTTCACCCTGCAGCCCAGCGTGTCCCAGACCCATGGGGGTCAGCTGTGGACCAGCCCGGGCTGGCTCCAGCCACCACGCTGTGACCAGCCGAGAGGAAGCCAGGAGCACAAAGCCTGGCACAGACCCTCGCACACCCCGGCCACACAGACGGCCGCAGAGCTCCTCCTCACTCCAGCCTGGCCCTGCCCAGCTGGGCTCTTGCCCCAGCCCCAGCACTCCTCTCACTCACCCGTCCACTCCTGCACGTCCAGAGGGAGCTCTGGAAATCACAGACGCTAAGCCATCCCTCCTGGGCCCCCACAAGACCTTCACAAACACCCGTCACCAGGAGACACTCTACCTTCTTCCTTCACTCGCACACATGCTTCCTGACTGCTGCCATCCCCAGGCACAACTTCCTCCAGGAAGCCCTCCTGCCTGCCCCTCACCGCCAGGTTGTGTCAGTTGGCCTCCTTGGGGCCTGAGACCACCACAGGGAAACACCAATAACTAGGGTGGATGCAACTGAGCCACCTTCAGGCCAGGGCCACACAAGTGCAGAAGCTAGGCCCAAAGGGGCCCATCTCATTTCTTTACTCCAAACCCCAAAGAGAAAGGTGCAGCAACACCCCCAGGACACACAGCAGCCTGCTCAGACTCTTGCCCACCCTCGCCTCTTGTCACGTCGGGAGGTCTGCTGTGAATCCCCTGAGTGGGTGTGCCACTGCGCGCGCCTCCCTGGGACTCCGCTTTCCCTCCAGCTCCCGCTCTGGAGTAGGAGGTTTGAGTGTGCCCTGAAGGCCGGGCAGAGGGAAGGCTGGGGACTCCACGCCAGGCGGGATCGCGGAACCTGCCCTCCTCTGGAACACGCACCGCTTACTTGTAGCTGGGTTGGTGGGGCTCCTGGGCCCCGGGCCTCTCCCTTCGCACAGCTCCGCGGGCCCCGCCAGAAATCTGGGGCTGGGGTGGCCACTGGGCGTGGGCTCCGGGACGGCGGGGTCTCCGCAGCACGGTCAAGGGGCTCCCGGGCGGACAAAGCCTGATCCAGGCCTGGCCAGGCGGTGCCGCGGCTCCCAGCGCTGGGCTAGACCACCGCAAGCGGGGGAGGATGCGGGATGCGGGATGCAGGCGTAGCGGCCAATGGCAGCGCGGGAAGAAGGGCTGATGCCATGGCAACAGCCAATGGCGGCCTGGGGCGGGGACCCGTGATGGCCGCGGGGCGTCGGGCCTCCACTCTGGCTGGGGGACTGCGTGTAGGAAGGGTGGGGTGGGTGATCCCTTCCCCAGGGAAGGGGGCGTCCCGAGTACCAGGACTCCAATGTCCCCCGAATTTCAGGGAGAAACAGCCTCTCAAACCCCACAGCTGCTGGATTCGCAGAGTTTGAGTCAAACACCAAAGCTTGGCTATTATATCAGAATCTTGGTGTGTGTGTGTGGGGGGGGCAGTGTCCTGGGACAGAGGCAGCAGCCAGCCCAGCCTCGGCAGACGTGTGTGGGCAGGATGGGGACCTCCGGGCTGGAGCTCCCCCAGGGTCCTGGCTGGGAAGGGCAGGTATGCTGAGGAATGCCTGGGGACTCCTCCCCATTCCTGTCTCCTCAGCAGAGTGCAGGGTCTCCGTATGTCGTCTTCTGGGATGGCCCCCTCTGCACATCTTTCCGTCACTGTCTCTTTCTATGTCTCTGTCCCTCCCCCAACTGAATTCACCCCATAGACTGGAAGGAGGCAGGAACCAGAGGTCCCAGTAGCCCATCCCCAGCTGTGGCTGACCCTCAACGTGTCCCTGAAGGCTACTTGAGGGCTTAACACCAGAGCCAGACCTGCCACTTGAGCACAGTCCTTCCTAGTGCCGACACCGCTTACAGGAAAAGACGAGGCGGCTGGCACCAGAAAATGTGGACTTGGGGTGCCAGGGGGAACTACTGACCTCGTCCCTCAGTTTTCTCCTCTGTGAGGTCCCTCCTCTGCAGGGATCACAGGCAAGGAGAGAGGTCTGCACCTTTGCAGGCTGCAGCAACCAAGGGCACTGGACCACCTCTGCTGTGAACTGCTGAGTTGAAGCCCCTGAGTACTTCCCTGGGCCAGCAATGCCAGGAGCCAAGCAGGCCCAGGTGCGTGGGGGCCTCCAGAGCTGAACACACCTGTCTCAGAAAGTTGGACTTTGGCAGGGGCATGCACTGGGCAGAGGGGCTCTTTCTGAAGGCTGGGTAGATTGCCCTGAGCAGGGCCTTGGGCAAGAGTTGGCCAGCTTAAGGCAGGGGGAGGGGCATCCCAAGCTGGGGAAGAGCAGTGCCCATTCAGGGGATGGTTAAGTGCTGTTGGAACCACAGAGTGGAGGGGTAATGGGGCCTGACCAGGGCCAGCCATGGAGGGTTGAGAGCGGGGAACCCCCTGGGTGACCATGGGGGACCCAGGAGCCCACAACAGAATGGGCTGGGCTGGAGCTGGGTGAGACCAGAACCAAGGCCCCTGGCTTAGCTCTGCTTCCCGCTCCTGCTGTGTCCTTGAACGTGTCTCTCTGTCTGTCTCTCTCTCTCCTTTTTCCAGGACTGAGGATTGAATCCAGGGACACTCTACCACTGAGCTACATGCCCAGACCTTAAAAAAAAAAATTTTTTTTTTTTTTTCAAATCTTGAGATAGGGTTTTGCTAGGTTGTCTGCTGCTTGTGACCCTCCTGCCTCAGCCTCCTGAGTTGTTAGGATTGCAGGTGTGCACCACTGTGCCAGCTCATGCATGTCACTCTCTTGCCTGTGGGGGAAACAAGTCCCACCTCCTCTACCCCGTCTCAGAAGTCACAGCTCCCCAAGGTTCTCTCAAGTAGAGGATGATAGTGACGTCCAGTGGCCAGTCCCCCGCTGGTACACACAGGGAAACTAAGGCTGGGGCGAGGAATCAGTTGCTGCTACAGTTCATGCAACCCTCCCTCCCTCCCTCCCTCCCCTCTTTGGGTGTGGCCAGGGCCTGGAAGACTGAGGGAATACAGGGGCTGACACCCCAAGGCAAGATGCTCTTGGACCTGAATCTTTAGAACACCCTCGCACAATGCCTGGACCTATAGATCTTGAGCCACAGCCAGATGTGGGCATCGTTGGTCACTTTAGAACCATAGGAGTCTTGGGGCCCCCACGGTCCCCAGGGATTTCAGGCCCAACATCTGTGGGACCAGAGAAGGCCGCCCTCCATTGCACAGTGTGTGGGACTGGGGGGCTGTCTCCAGGCTTTCTCCATAGTGCTTGTAGGGTTGAGGGAAATTTTCTCCCCACCCACCTGGGACTCCAACTGGTAGCCCCAGTCCAGGATATTGCAGGGGTTGTCTCAGAATGTCATGGGGCCTCTCGAGTCTGACCGGACTGTCCCTGTCCCCTGGGTGCCCCGTACTTCCCCCCATCTCCTCTGTGCCAGGAACTGAGGACAGGATGGCAAGTGGGGCCGAGGGAGGACATCAGCAAGCACAGGACAGGGCCCTGACCAGTGACGAGGAGCTGCCCTGGAGGGGGCCAGCCGGTCAAGACACCTCTGACACCGGACCTCACTGGTGGTCTGTTTCCCAGGGGCGAGCCCGCGTCGCCTACTTCGTCAGCACCGCGGATAGCTCCCCGGACTGTGTCCCCTGCCAGGGTCAGTGCCCGCCCTCAAGCCCCGGCCTTGCTCGAGGCCTATGACCTTGGACTTATTGCTGTACCCCAGCCTCAGTTTCCCCTCAGATGGGGATGTTAAACTTTAGAACTCAGGTCACCACGGAGGCCGGCAAGCTCGGCCTGGTGGGATGGAATGTTCTGAACGTCAGCGTTGGTGAAGGTCCAAGTGGGCCCAAGTTGGGCGCCCAGAGGGGAAACTGAGGACTAGGGAGGTGCAGGGCGTGGCCAAGCCCCTCCATCCTGCGCCTGGCTGTCTCCATATCGCGCGCTCCCACCGCTGCACCCTGATGGGCCCTTCTCCGCGAGCGTGTGCGCGCAATAGGGAGGGGTCAGAGGGTCTTCCTGAGGCTGGGGGGCTGCCCCCCACCGCCCCGCAAAGCCTGCGCTTGCGCAGATCGGGTTTGGGGGTTCCCTGCAGTGCAAGGGAGGGGCTCCCCGCGGCGCGAACTCCACTGCGGTTTCCCTGACAACCGTCTCCTGGGTAACTGCGTGAGACCCCCGACCCGTCAAGTCTGTCCGCTAGTCCATTAGCCCCTCGCTGAGGGACTGCGGTTCCGCAGGTCGGACCCCACCCTGGTCGCGCCCAGGACAGGACCCTCAAACCCAGCCCGGACCCCATACCCTACCTGGTCCCCGAAGAAGGATGAGTGCAGCAGGCTCAGAAGCCCCAGGAGCCCCATGGAGCCGTGGCCGTCTTGGACAGCGCGCACCCGCCCCTCGGAGGCTGCAAGGTGGGGGCGGGGGCCGCTGCCGGGAGCCCTGCGCCTGCGCGGGGAAGGGCCTGGGAGGGGTCACTCAGAGGGGACAGGGCGGGGCTCCTCCGAAAGGCGGCGAAGGAGGGGGTCCAGTGAGCTCTGGGGATACCTGGTGAAGGTTGTCTGAGATCCTCCCAATGGAAGATGAGAGGATGGAGACCCTCGTGGGCAGAGGGCTGAGGGGCAGGGTCCAATGGGGCCGAGGAGCCCTTCAGTGTTGAGGGGGGCCAGGGACCTGGAGGGTTCAGGGAGGAGGGCTTCTGTGGCGCCTGGAGGTCTTGGAAGGGGCAGAAGAAGGAGCCGCCCAGTGGCTTTACTCTGTCCAGCCGTGCACAATCGCCGCACAAAAGCTTGCGCAGTCCAGAAATTCGCCCAGGCCCTGACCAGCGCGCGAGCTCATTAGTCATTTAGCAAACAGTTGCTGTATGCCAACTCTGCCAGGCTGGGAAAACCGGCGCTTGGTATGGAGAAAGCCCGCCGGACGGGGGCGACACCACAAGTGGAGAAACTTAACTGTTAAGCACCCACTGTGCCAGGTGAGTGGCCCACGCCTGTAATCGCAGTGTGCCGGGACAAACCAGGTAAAGTGCCCCGGAGGTCTGGTCCCCAGTACCAAAAGGAAACAGAACCACCCCAGCTGCTGTGCGCAGTTCCCCTAAGTACGATGAACAGAAGGGTAGACACCTGCCCAGGGAAGCTGGCAACGGACAAGGGGAGCGCCCACAGCAGAGCAGGAGTGGGGCGGGAGGGAAGGGCCCGGATGTCTACGGGGGGAGGAGCACGCCTGGGCGGCAGGGCTGGGAACGGAACCCAGGCCTCGCCAGGCCTCCCACCGAGTGGAGGGAAGCAGGAGCAGGGCGCTGCACAAGCCAGGCTCCCATGAAGGGAAGGAAGGCAGGGAGGATGGGCACAGAGGGCACATCTCAGAACAGCACTCTTAGGAAAGCAACAAGTGCCAGACAAGCAGGACATGAGCAAGGAGCCCTGGGAACAGCCTTCCAAGGCCATGCATGGAACCAGGTGAGAAGCTTCATGGGACTCAACATCCAAGCCCCACAGGAGCAGTGCCTGACTGGGACCCAGGGCAGGGCTGCGAGGCCTCACCTGCATGAAGACGCACTACCTGTGGCTGAGGTGTGCAGGTGGAGGGCTCTGGGCAGTAAAATGCCTCCTCGAAACTAACAAAAGCTCCTTCCCACCCCCAGGAACCTTGAAAGTACTCCTGCAGCAGGAACACCACTTACAGGGGCACAAGCTGGCCCCAGGACTCTCTGCTCCCAGCATGGAGCTTTGGGCAGTAAGGATGGCCTCATTGCTCATGATAGGCAAGCAGAGTCACGCCCCAGACCAGCTGACCATGTGATTCCTTCTTGGAAAGTGACCTTCACAAGCCATCCCAAACCAGCCCAGGGACCACGTGCTCACCAGCTGGAGTGCCTCCAGGTCAGTGTGCAGGGTACCTGGGCCACGGAGGGCCTGTAGGGGCCCAATATACTCTGTCAGTCTTCAGTAGTGTGGGTTGGGCGGGGGTGGGGTGGTGCTGCGCCCCTCCCCTGACTCCCGAAAAGGCAAGGCCCTACTGAGGTGGAGGGCACAAGGCGTCCATCCTCTGGAGGAGCGCAATGTTTCTGGGAACGGGCTGGTTTGTTTTTTGTATTCCTGCTAATAAGTATAGTTGCGACTTGTCATATAACCATTACATATGAAGGAAAAAACATGAATTTTCCAATTGACGCAAGTACTTCTAAAGAATAAATCTGTTTGCTCTAAATGCAAGGATTCAGCTGGAACGTAAATTGTACCTGTGCACAATGGTTTGATGCTCTTACTCTTGATTAAAATTAGAAGCCTCTCTTTTCAAGCTAACCACTTGCCATAACTGTGGCACCGCTTTTAGTAAGTCAAGAAAGAATAGCCAAGGTGTAGGCCAATAGCCTGGGACATTTCTATTATTAAAAGCTAACTAAGCAGAAACAGCTCAAAGCAAAACACGAACTTAAAGTAAAAATGTTTGCTTATGCATAAGCCAAGATACATTCTTACGTGGGGGGCCCTGGTTTCAATCCTCAGCACCACATAAGAATGAAATAAAGATAATGTGTCCAACTCCAACTAAAAAATGTTTAAAAAAAATGGGTTATTTCTAACATTTTAGACATTTCATTTAAAAAAATCAGTGCTAGGTGTGGTAGCCTGTAGTCCCAGAAATTTAGGAGGCTTAGGCAGGAATATCACAAGCCCAAGATGAGACCCTGTCTCAAAAGACTGGTGCAGGGCTGGGGATGTGGCTCAAGCGGTAACACACTCGCGTGGCATGCACGGGCAGCACCACATAAAAATATGTTGTGTCCGCCGAAAACTGAAAAACATTAAAAAAAATTCTCTTGAAAAAAAAAAAAAGACTGGTGCAGTGATAAAGCACCCCTGGGTTCAATCCCAGTACCAAAAAACTAAATACTGAAATAATAATTTAAAAAACCCTCCACACATCCCTTTTCTTAGGACAGTTTCCACTTCAGCAAGGCCTTCCTTGCTTGTGGCCAGTGTGCTGGCAGGTGGGACTGTGCTCTGGGTCCCCATGAAGCCCAGTGGGGGGAGTGCAAGAGCATTTTCAAATGTTCAGTCTGTCTAGGAGGCTGCCAACCACAACCCCCTCAGCTGATCACCTGTGGGCTCCAGCTCCCTCCAGGCCATCCTTCCTCAGTACCACCCTCTGGGGCCACCACCTTTCCAGGGACCTGGCCCACTAGAAGCCAGTGGAAACCAGAGGCCACCCAGGGCTGCGTCTTGAAGCCTTATCCACCTCAGGCTGCCAGAGTGAAGCAGTGACCCACACTGCCCTGCTAATAGCAGCAGGAAATGCGGAGGTGTAGCTGGCTGAGGGGCCCTCGCCACCTGGATGGTTCTGGCCTCCTACCCACTGCCCTTTGGAGTCTGCCCAAGTCGTAGGCCTGGCTAACTGGCCACCTGAACTGTTCTGCAGGACACTTTCGAGGAATCAAGGCCACTATATCCTCCTACCTACTTTCTTACCTCCTGCTTGTGTAGGGTAAGGTCTGAGCATCCTTCACTCTCATACCACCCATCAGCCCAGCTTAGAGGCCCCGCCACAGCCCTGCCTGTCCCCCCTCCTCCCCAAGAGTCCTACAATGCATTTTTTTGAGCATGGCTGGGGCCTGAACAGGGATGGCGTGATCCTAGTCTGACCTGGGCCATCAGAGGGGCAGACAATAGCACGATGAGCACCCACCGAGAGCCATCTGAGGACTCTGGGCAAATTTAGGAGATTAGGAGGGTATGAGGTCCTGCTGCTCACGTTCTCCACCTGCAGAGCCACCCCCCAAGTGGAGGGCCCGAGTCTGGCTGGGACAGCTGCCAATCAGCACTCCTACCCTCCTGGGCCCTGAGGTGATGGCCCAGGTGGAGTGAGCAGGGCTACCATCCTCAGGAGCCACTGAAGGAAACCAGGGGCCCACGCTGCCCATACACACCCAGTCCTTTATATCCAACCCGAAGCACATCACAAATCTGCACCAGCTCAGGGCCCTTCTGGGAAGAATCCATGGAAGAGGGAGCCTCCCCAACCCCCTGGCACTTCAAGGATGAGCGGCACTCGCACAGGAGCTGGGTGTGCCTTTATTGCCCAGGCAGGCTACTTGAGGGGGATGAAGCGGGACGAATGGGTGGCCCCAATGCCAGGCCGGCCGTGCTTCACGGGCTTGTAGGTGATGGAGAACTCGCCCAGGTAGTGGCCGATCATCTCGGGCTGTGGAGGTCAAGAGCAGGGGTCAGGGTGTGTGGGCAGACAGCGCATCCGCGCACCCACACCCAGGGCACACCATACACACCTTGATCTCCACCTGGTTGAAGGTCTTGCCGTTGTAGACGCCAACCATGCTGCCCACCATTTCAGGCAGAATTATCATGTCCCGCAGGTGTGTCTTCACCACCTCTGGCTTCTCCATCGGGGGCGCCTCCTTTTTGGCCTTGCGCAGGCGCTTCAGCAGCGAGTGCTGCTTCCGCCGCAGGCCGCGGTTCAGCCGCCGCCGCTGGCGTGCGCTGTACAGCTGCATCAGCTGCTCGCTGCGGGGGACAAGGCGGCGGGTGGGTGGGCTGCACGCCCCTCCTCTGGCCCCTACAGCGCAAGGACAGCAGGGACATACCCAGGCCAGGCCCCGGAGCAGCGGAAGGCGGCGTCGCCGGGAACACGGGGCCATCGGAGCCCTGGGCACGCAGCCACGGCCCACGCCCACCCGGGCCCTCCACATCAAAGGCGTCTCCCGCCGGCTCCTTACTAGGACATGTCCAGCAGCTGGTCGAGGTCCACGCCGCGGTAGGTGAACTTGCGGAAGGTCCGCTTCTTCTTCTGCTCCACTTCCGCCTGCGCGGGCGCGGACGGGGTTGAGTAGGGGCTCGAGACCCACCCCGCGGCCCCACGAACGCGCTCACAGGGCGTCCGGCCCCAGTACGGAAGCCCGCGGGCACACGTTTGTCCCGGGTCACCGGGGCTCAGCCGAGAAATGCGGGCCCGGGGCCTTCCGCGCCCCGAGTGGTCCTCACACACCGGGACCGTCCCGCGCCCCCACCCGCAGCCCCGGAGGCTTGGAGCAGGCCGTCACAGCGCGGGGCAAGACCCCGGCCCCCGCGGGACGGCCGGAGGTCGGATGGAGTTGGATAGGGACCCACAGGGGCCGGGACGAGCAGCACTCACCATCTTGCCGGCTTTGCGGAAAAGACCTCCCCGCCCCGCGCCCGCGAAGTTATCGCGAGGCCTCCTCGGGCCCCGCCCCTTGGCCGTGCGCGCATTTCCGCCTTCCAGCGGCAGAGGCCGCCCCCTGCCGTCCGGAGGGCAGAACACCGGCTTTGGGTATCAAAGGGGCCGCCGCCTTGGGCCGAGTTGCCCTTTCCAAAACGCTGGTCTTGTTTGAACCTCAGGTGCGTGCTCTGTAATCAACGCCATAGAATCCATCTCAAAAGAATGCAGCGCCTACTGTTTGTGAACAGGTGTGATTTAGAGGTTCAGGGCCCGGTGGCAGGAGGCACAGGCATGGATGGACATTGTACCTGTCACCTGAGAGAAGAAGAGATTGGCTCTGGCCTCTCTGAAAGAAACCACTCAGGCTTTAATTAACACGTTCTTGGATGCCTGTTGTCCCCACTACTGGGGAGGTCCAGGCTTGAGGCCCAGGAATTGGAGACTGAAGAAAGGAAGAGGGGATGGAGGGAGAAAGGCACAAAATAAGGGGAGGAGAGAATAGAGATAAGCAGGAACAATGTTTCTGTCTTGCTGGATTTTTTTTTTTTTTTTTTAAACCGGGGGTTAAACCCAGGTGTGCTTAACCATTGAGCCATACCCCTAGCCACTTTTAAAATATTTTATCTAGAGACAGATTCTCGCGGAGTTGCTTAAGGCCTCCTTAAACTGCTGAGGCTGGCTTCGAACTCCCAATCCTCCTGCCTCAGCCCCCCCAAACACCTGGGATTACAGGTGTGTACCACCATCCCTGGCTTTCACTGGAATTGCTATTGTGAATTTTCTGGTACTGGGATTGAACCCAAAGGTGCTCTGACCATTAGCCACATCGCCAGCCCCTTGTATGTATGTGTTATGTTATTTTGGTACTTGGGGTTGAACCCAGGGGTACTTAACCACTGGGTTACATCTCCAGTTCTTTTTACTTTTTGAAACAGGGTCTTGCAAAAATAAGCCTGGCCTTGAATGTGATTCTCCTTCCTCAGCCTGCCGGGTTGCTGAGATTACAGGTATGGCCACCAGACCTGGCTTGTTAATGTGCCTTTGGAGGCTGGGTATGTTCCCAGAAGTATCAGATTTGAACAGGTACTTATACGCCCTTGTTCACAGCAGCACACCACACCACAGCCTGGATGTGGGAAAGACCCAAGCTCCTGTAAGCGGTAAGTGGATGGATGGACACACAGCATGGGATATGCTCACCTAGAGGGTCACTTGGCCAGGAGCAGAAGCGAGGTGACACGCTGCAGCGTGGATGGACCTCGAGAACCTTGTGCTCTGTGAGAACCAGAGACTAAAGGACACAGGGTATGGCTCCAGGACAGGAGAGTTCTGAGATGGGAGGTGGATCCGTGGGTACAGGGCTGGGGAGGTGCTGGGAAGTTGGTGTTCATGAAGAAGGCTTCAGTTTGAGAAGACGAGAAATTCTGGGGTGTGGTGGTGACAGGTGTACAATGACAGGAATGTGGTCAATGCAACAGAACTGTGCCCCCAACATAGTTAAGGTGATGGGCTGGAAGTGTAGCATGAGGCTCTGTCTGATCTCTAGCACCACACACACACACAAAGATGGTAAGTGTTATGTGTGCATTTTACTGATGGGGCAGGTGCGGGGGGTACTGGGGCTTGATCCACGGACACTCTGTGAGACACATCCCCTAAATTTTTTAGACTTTTGAGACAGGGTCTTGCTGAGTTGCCCAGGCTTGTCTTGAACTTGTGATCCTTCTGCATCAGCCTCCCAAGTTGCTGGGATGACAGCACGTATGTGTATGTGTATGTATCTACCTATATACCTCAGTGGTAAGCCCTGAGCATCCATTCAGTCAAAACCATGTGAGAGGAAGCATTAACTGAGGAAAACAAAAGGCCAAGGGAAATGGCAGGTGTGAATCCATCCATGACAATGCCGGAGGCAGGCAGTCGGAACAACCTGGCTATAGCTCAAATGAAAGGCTGGTCTCCCCCAACTGACTCCATGGTGCCTGTTTCCCTGCCTTCACCTGAGCTTGGGGCAAGCTGGACCCTCTGTCCACTTGGTACTGGTTTTTGTGGCCAGCAGCCCAGCAAAGGTCAGGATACAGGTTGGGCTTGACAGAAGGCACTGCCTACAACAGTCAAAGCAAGGAGCCGGGAGTCCAGCAGTCTCCAACTTCAGCCACAGCATCACGTGTGTGGAGGAAGGTGCCCGCTCCAGGCCTGTGGCTGGGTTCTCCGCCTACACAAGCCTCCAGAGCCCTGGCTGGGTGAGCCTGCAGCTCTGCCCATGGGGGCAGGGGATGCAACTACATGGGAGCACAGGGCCTGTCTGGGGACAGCAGAAGCTGCACTGTCAGGTTTTTTTTTTTTTTTTTTTTTTTTTTGTGCCACCGTGGAGCTCTTTTGGCTGGGTAGAAACCTGTTGACTTTTTTTTTTGCAGTTGTAGATGGACAGAATGCCTTTATTTCTATGTGGTGCTGAGGATTGAACCCAATGCCTTAGGCTTGCGTGCGCTTTGCCACTGAGCCATGACCCTGCCTGAAACCTCTTGACTTTCTGCATATCATTTCCTTGCTAAGGGACTTGAATTTTGCAGGAATTCAATGGAAGGCGCTCGCACATGTGATTACAAGGGGTGTAGACGGAGGGCCATTCAGGAGCTGGTCCCCAGGTTCATGTAGGGGCTGGCTCAGTGGGCACCTGCCCTAGAGGGCTCAGGATTACTCCAAGGCAAGCTGAGCTTTCCCTGCCCGCAAAAACCGAGTTGGGGATGAGGGCTTCTGGCAGTCTCAGTCATTTTTGTCGGTACCCAGTGTATTTGGATTTTTTTCCCCACTGATACGGGGGATTGAACACAGGGACACTGTACAACTGAGCCACATCCCCAGCCCTTTGTTTTACTGAGACAAGGCTGGCTCTGAACTTCCGACCCTCCTGCTTCAGTCTCCTGAGTCACTGGGATGACAGGCATGGGCCATCATATCCCAGCTAGCCTTGTTACATAGGCCCCCAAAGGCAATCTCATCCTTAGCCAGAACTAATGGACGTCAATTGCCATGGCCAGAGACAGGATACAACAAAACTCAAGGCAGGGAGATGGCTCCTGACCTAACTACAGCCCCAGGCTCCTGGTGTGAGGCAGGTACCAGGTGCCTCACAACCCACAGCCCAGGGACATCTGTAGTCACATCTGCCAGAACCCACAGGGCCCAAGGCCCACACCAGAATAATAGATCCCTGTGTCAGGCCTCTCTGCCCCCTAAGTCCACAAGGAGGCCGGAAGGTGGGGCCCAGGCCAAGGGCTCATCTGGGCTCCAGATCTTTCCCAGACGGGGAAGGAGGCGCAGGCGATGGAGAAAGAAAGCACACGACCTGGGTTTCTAATCCAAACGCACTTCTCTTTATTCAAACCAGGGTCAAACTGGTCAGTGGGAAACGCCCTAAAGCCATGTGCCAAGGAGGTGGGCTTCTAGCAAGACTGTGCCTGCTGCACAGGGTCCAGGCTGTGGAAGTCAGTGCTGCCACGTGGCCAGCCAAGAGTGACCCACCTCCACAGCGCACTGCAGATGCTACCAGGCAGGCCGGCCGACAAAAGCAAGGAGTAAACAAAAAACAAAACACACTCAGTAGATTTCTTTAGCTCCCAGAGTTTCTGGACCAACAAGTCCCAACCCCCAAGCCAGGATCGAGGGGACCTAAAAACACCCCCCCTCCCACCAGTGCCGACCGAACCCTGTTTTTAAATTAAAAAATAAGCCAGTATACATCGTAGAAAATTTTCTCTTAAAAATCTCACAATTTGTAAATGTATATTTTTTCTTTAACATAAAAGTTTACAATATACGGTAAAACAAAAGGCTCAGGAAAATAATTTCGAAAAAAAATGAAGAAGAAGAAGAAGAAAAAGAAACCTGAAGTTTTTAATTAAAGCTGAAGACATTTTTTTAAACCCTGTTGTTGAACCAGTGACTTTTTTTTTTATTGTGCTGATGGGTCAGAGAAAGAAATATATTTAAAAACTTCAGTCCAGTCACCCACAGCCAGCTCCGAAGCCTCTGCCCTCCCCCCTCCCCCCCAGGTTGTGATTGTCACAGTCCACGAGTCTCCAATCCTGGTCTCGGCCGGGGCGGGTTGTGTGGCGCTGCGGTTAGCGTCGGTAGGGGTGGAATCCTTGCACGTTGTGGTTCTGACCTCGTCCAAAGCCACTGCCACCGGCAGGGGGGCCCCCTGACCCTGGCACTGAGGGGCCCCCGTAGGAAGGGGGCTGCTGGCTGGGGTCGGAGAAGCCCTGTCCAAAGCCGCTCAAGTCCTGCCCATAACCTGCTGGGGGAGAGAGGGTGTCAGCTCAAGATGCACAGCCCAGCCTGCTTGCTCTGCTTCTGAGCAACTCTGCTCCATTTTCTGAGGAAGGGTGATGATGTCTGGGCCTTGGAGCCCACGGGTCCCACAGGGTGGGGGCACCAGTGGGGACTTGACCCAGGTGGGGCCACCCCGGCAGGGACCCAAAACCTGAGAATTTTTATCTTTCAAGACCACATGAGCAGGACCCACACAAGAGAGAAAAGCAGCTTTCAGATCCTTTGTGGGTCTGGTGATCCGCCCCATTTCTACCTTGGCCCCATCCCCACATACCTGGAAGTCAGGGGGCAGGTGTGTGTCTAACTGGTTTGGGACACACCTGGAGACCCAGGACTACTACAATTTGCTTACACAGGATAGGCCTATGGTGCAGAGCATAGCCCTCACCTCCCTCATGGTAACCCTCACCACACCTGTGAGGCTGTCCCCACATCCCACGCCCACACGATCCTCCCTTCAGGGCGGCCAGGAGCTCCAAGCTACAGACTAACTTGGCAGTGTTTAGGCTTCAACAAAAGCCAGACACACCTACGCTACTGGCCTCAGGGGTGTAGGAGGTTCTTCTGGGAAAAGGGATACACACCATCCTCAAGTGGACAGAGATGGGCCCTGCGCCTGCCCACCCCACCACAAACTTTGAAGACCCATCCAGGCCCTCTGGGTTCCCAAACAGGGGTGCACATGGACACAGGTGGGCCCCCTGGCTCTGGGTGCTCCTGGGGCCAGCTGTGGTCAGTTGAGATCCTCAAACTGGCAAGGGGCCCGTCCCAGAGGGCACCTCCAAGTATCCACCCCCGCCCAGGATGGCAAAGGAAGCCATGTCTGCTTCCCAGGTGCAGGCAGGTGGGAGGACCGTGTAGAAAGAGGCGGCACCTACCTAGGCCACATCACTGCTCAGCCTGACCATAAGAGTGTAAACAAAGAATGGGCCCGAAGCCCGACGGGTCTCGAGAATAGGTACCCAGGCCTGGCGAGAGACGAGACCAGGGTGACTAACCCACTGCGGCCAGGCAAGGAGCGAGCGGCAGACACGCACACTTGCACACCCCACGGGCGCTTCGTGCTCCCCCTGCAGCTTTGACACATCAGGGCCTTGTGGTGGGCCAAGAACCAGCGCTGGCGGGGGTGGGGGGGTGAATGCAGCCAGGGCCTGGGCCCTCCAGAGTCATTCAAGATGGGCCAGTGCCTCAGACGGCTCTGGCTCAGTCCAGGCTGAGAGAGCACCTTTTCAGGTGCCCTGGAAGCCAGGGCCTGCCTTCCTCAGGACATGAGCTTAGACACCTTGGGACAGGGAGGCCCACATTCTTGGGATCCAACTGTGCAAATGTCCCTTGAGGAGCCAATGATGAGCAGAGCTCCCTCCACGGGGGTCACGGTACCAAACAAGGCTGGTCTTGGCACTGAGCTCATGCAGGGTGAGAGTGAGAAAAGCACAGACCAAGTCCTGTCTTGACCCAGTGTCCTCCCCTGAAGCCACCCACAGGAGTGACAAGCCGTGGAGTCCACCACAATGCCTCTGTCTAAGCCAGGGCTTGCTATTGACTCAAGCCTGCTCCTGGAATGGGGTCTGGCCTGCAGGGTACCTAAAGACACAGCAGAAACAAATAATCATGGGGCAGAGGGCCTGGATAGCCCTGACTAATGACCTCTAGCGAGGACACAGGAGAGCATCAAGCCCGGACAATGATCACAATATCCACACCATCTTTCTGTGACCCCAGGAGGCACCTCCCCCTGACCCGGTCACAGCCTCTGGTTGCCAAAAGTACAGGCCCTGGCCACCTGCTGTGGGACCACCACCTTTCTTGACAGGTTCCCCCCTAAGTTCCGCTAGGCCCCTGTTGCTGCCACCAGTTTTCCAGCAGCCTCTGCACACTGGCTATCTGCCCTGCTGCTGCTTCCTCCAGAGTGTGCTGGTGGGAAACACATGGAGGGAAGAAGACCGGCACAGGGCTGGGGGGACGCGCAGACCACTCACCATACTGACTGTAGGGGAAGTCTGGCTGGGCTGCTGGGGGTTTGCTCATGTCTGGGGCGGCCTGAGATGGAGGTGGTGGGAAGGCCAGTGGAGCTGCCCCAGGAGTGGCAGGAGGAGGAGGGACCCCAGGAGGGGCAAACTGATCCGGCGGTGGAGGTGGAGGCCCATAGCCGAAACCTGCAGACAGAGGAGAGCAAGGCACAAGACACGGGGTAAGGCCACAGGGTCAGCTGGATGGAGACCCACAGACCAGCCCCACAGGAGCTGCAAGATGGGACTTCCATCTAAAACCTACAGAAGGGACTATGGATCCTTGCTCCTGGGACATGACCCTAAGGAAACAATGACTGTCGAGGTGATAATGGTGTGACCACAGGACAGAGTACTAGGCAGGAATCCAAGCAGCGAGGAATTCCACTGCAGATCTTTCTTTAGAAACAGCTGGACACAGCTTTGGGAAGGTAAGTCATCTGAGCTGTCTCAAAGGTAGGGGCCAATGGCAAGTTTTCAGAACAGAGCAAAGGGGTGGAAATGTGGCTCAGTGGTAGGTATAGTGCCTGCCTCACATGGACAAGGGCCTAGGTCCAACCCTCAGAGCACCAAGAAAAAAAGGGGGAAGGGTACTAGAGAGGACTAGCATCCCACACCCTGATGCTGGGCTTCAGACCACCCAATACTTCCTTTTTTTAATTTCTTGGTACCAGGAGTTGAACGCAGAGGTGTTCAACCACTGAGCCACAGCCCTAGCCTTTTTTTCCTTCTTTTTCTTTTTTTTTCTTTTTGTGGTGCTGAGGATTGAACCCAGGGCCTTGTGCATACAAGGCAAGAACTCTACCAACTGAGCTATATCCCCAGCCCTCCCCAGCCCTTTTTATGTTGAGACAAACCCTCACTAAGTTGTGCAGGGTCTCGCTAATTTGCTGAGACTGGCCTTGAACTTGAGATCTTCCTGCCTGAGCTTCCCAAGCCACTGGGATTACAGGAATGTGCTACCATGCCCAGTTTAGACTACCCAATTCCTGTCATTAAAAATAAGTTACCAACGGCTAAACTGTAACATTGAACTATCCAACCTGGGACCTGGCCACATGTGGCCTCTGATTCCCCACAAGATGTGACTGGTCCAAACTGTAATATATCCCAAGTATGTAACACACCGTATAAAGGACAACACAAAAATCAGATCGTAGAACATTCATGCTGGATGACAGGGTCAGATAAGGTGACGTAATCTGAGAAATAGGTGCTAGAAAATCCAGTTGTCGAGGGGGCCTGAGTGCCCTTCCTTGGAAGGTGCCAAGTCCCCATACCTAGAGAACATGAGCAAAGTGCTCTAACATTCTAGGCATGGTAACTGATTTTACACCTACATCTTTGATTTAAAACGCCAAGTATATGGAAAATCAATTAAGAACTAAAGTTTGGGGCTGGAGATGTGGCTCAAGTGGTAGCGCGCTGGCCTGTCATGCGAGAGGCACTGGGTTCGATCCTCAGCACCACATAAAAATAAATAAATATATTGTGTCCACCTAAAACAAACAAACAAAAAAAAAAATCAAAAAAAAAAAAAAAAAAAAAGAAAAGAAAGAACGAACTAAAGTTTTATACCTCAAATACACCTCACTACTGTTTTTTTGTTTTTTTAAAAAAACAAACAAACAAACAAACAGGTGTATGAACCCAGGGATGCTTTACCACTCAGCCACAGCCCAGCCGTTTTAAAAATTTTTTTGAGGCAGAGTCTGGATAAATTGCTGAGGCGAGCTTTGAACTCACAATCCTCTTGCTTCAGCTTCCTGAGTTGCTGGGATTACAGGAGTGTGTCACTGTGCCCAGCTTCCCTCACTTCTAAATAAAGAAGAATGGAAGAAGTCCAGACACCTCACCTCCTGAGAAATGAAGAATGAGAGCAAGGGTGCAAGGTGCAAGGCTCAGTTTCTGCACGAACCTGAGCTCCGTCAGTGCCAAGAGTGGGTTCAAGGCAATTAGAAGCCACCTGTGCAGTCTCTGTGCTTCACACCCAAACAGGGACAGGGGGCAAGTGTCATGGCCAATGTCCACATGAAGCACAGGCCTAGTCAGCTCCAGCGCCAGCTCTGATGGGAGAGGAGCCCTCCCGAGGGGGCCCAGCCAAAACTTACTGAACTGTGGTGGGGCACCATAGCCTTGTGGGAAGCCCTGAGGAGGGGGGAAGCCGCCAGGAGGGGTGGACACGATGTAGGAGGTGAACGGAGGGGGCGGTGGGGGGGCTCCTCTTCCCGCAGGAGGTGGTCCGTAGCCACCTGGAACACACAACGCAGGGTGAAGGGCAAAGAGTGTCAGACACAAACCCCTGGCCACAGCCCAGACCCAGGCCTGCCAGGGCCTGTATCGGGCCCCTCCCCTTCTTCCTCACCAGGAGAGGAAGTAAAAGAAATGATCTCAAGGGCCAGAGAGACACTGACAGCGGCTTTACCGGCCATAGACAAGACCAGACGTGAGCTCTGAGAGTCGGCCTAGGATTTCGGATTCTGCTCTTTCCCTTTCTCTAAAAACAAGGACTCACCAATTGCCTGTCCTGCTGGCACCCACATTCCTAGATGAGAAAACAGAAGAGAAGGGTTGGTGCCGAGTCCTCCCAGTATTTTGATGCCAAGTAAGCGCCACCAACTGGGGCTCACCCCCGGCCCCACCTGAGGCTCAGAGCCCAGGGACATGGGTGGCACCAGGTGAAGCCTTCCTCCTGGGTCTTCAACACAGCCCCCTGATCAGTATGCCTCCCAAGTGCCTCTCCACTGGCACCCTACCACCTGGTGGTAGTCTCCTGACTGGGTACATGCCTCCATGGCCTCTGAGCCTTGAGGAACACAGGGACAGTCCCCATGGCAGTCTGCATGCCTGGGCATAAAAAAAAAAATGGTTTCCCTGGGGCTCACTGGTAGAGCACACCCAAGGCCTGGGTTCCATCCCCAGTACCACACATGTGTCTCTCTCTCTCCCTCTCTCTCTCCCTCACTCACACTCACACACACACACACACACACACACGAAAAGAGAAAAGAAAGAAAGAAAAAGAAAGGTGTGCCTATTCCATCTCATTTCCAACAGGGAGAATTCTCAAAGAAACCCTCAGGCTCAAGGTGTGGAGGAGACCACAGAGAATCCTGATACCATGGCTCAGAGAACAAAGTCCCCCAGGCAGGCATGTGTAAGCTCACTTGCTCAACACCTCCTGTAAACTATCGGCAGCACCAGCTACTGGTGGGGGCCTGAAGTGGAGGGTACACAGCTTGGCGGAGGTGAGAGCAAATGCACAGACCCAAGTCTGGCAGGTTTTCATGGTGCCCCTGGAAGTGCTGCCCAACTGCCATATTGCAGGCAGTAGAGAACTCTTCACACCAAGTAGGCCACTTCTGACCCTCTGACTGCCCACTCAGATCCACCACAGCCCTTCCTACACCCTTGCACATGGGCAACAAGACAAGGAATCTCAAAACAGATACTCTAAGGAAGGAAGACCCACTTGCCCAAACTGCAAGCAGCACCTAAGCCACACTCAACCACACCACCGAGGGTTAGGAAGATGGCAGAGCCTTTTGTGCCCTCTGGACGGTGACTATACCTATGCCTGCACCTCGGCAGGGCTTCTGAAACAGCTGCTCAGAACGTGGCACTGACACAGTGGGGCAGGGGGAGCTCTCCCACTTTGGCAAGGCCTGCCAGTGCCCAGAGAGCAATGCTGCTCTCGTCCCATAGCTCTGCCCATCAGGTAGTTGCCTGAAGCCAAGGCCCAGGGGACCCATAGCCTCCAAGCAACATAACAGTAGCCAGTTGATCCTTGAGCCCAGGTCTGGTCCCTCCAGGGCCCTCAGAGCCTTACCTTGTGGGCCGTATCCTTGTTGCCACGTGGGCGGGGGCTGGCCTGCCCAGCCGTTCGCGGCATTGGGCACGACACGGCTCCCCCACTGGCTGGCACCTGGCTGTCCGGGCGCTTGGCTTTTGCTGTCCCGAGGCTCGGCCCGTTTAACTTCCACCTAAACAAACCAAGCTGTGGTTTAGGGAGAAGCTACAGCCCAGCGCCCCTTCCCTTCAGACACACCCTCAGTAACTTACAACTACACTTAGCATCTTACGACTTAAGACTAAGTACTTAACTATAAACCTTATTTAGGCCAGTACTTTTTTTCTTAATTTTTTTTTCCTTTTTAATTTTTTTTTTTGTTGTTTAAAAAAATGTTTCTCAGGTACAACAGATACAACTGTAAAGACAGCCTGTGCCCCACCCGCTATGAACAGCAGAAGGAGCCAGGAACCCTCAGGAGATCTGTGTACGCAGAGGTATCTCACTCCAGCTAAGACAGTAGCGCCTCCCGACAGGACAATAAGGGACCAGCACATGCCCAGCCCTGTCACGGGCCCAACTGGCCACGAGGGCCTCTTAGAGCCCACCCCATTGCAACTTTAGCGCATACCTGAGAAACACAATTGGTTTTGACTTAAATTTTTATTTAAAATGTCTAATGGAAGATAAAGACTTACCTTCCCCAGGCTAATGCTTAAAGAATCTCAATTAACTCAAAGGAATGTCAGAGGGAATGGATGTGATAAGAGAATCTTACATTAATCTAACAAAAAAAGTAAACAAACATGCAATAAAATGGACATTTGAATCAGTAAGCAATCTTCATACTGTGTTAGGCAGCAACCCAGACCTCTCCCCAGAACTGGCTGGAGCCACAGCCTCTGAAACAAGGACAAGGGGCTAGAACAGCGTGAGCTAACTGTGCGTGACCTAGTTTTTCTGAGCACAGGGGCTGACCTGCTTCATGCATCTTTTAAAATATGGGCAGACCGACAATAGCAAAAACACCTCCCCCCCTGGATTCCAGGGCTGCCTCAGCTCTCAGGATCCCAAATCTTTCTTATTTTTATGATAAATTTTAATAATAATGAAGAAACAATGAGTCCACCTTGAGGGTTTCAGTCTGGAGGGATAAGCATTATGCCTTCAGAATTCCTTCAGAGATAACAAACAGGAAGAGGCACAAAGTCCCCCCACCTGCCCACCGCCCCAAGGACGCTCTGTGTGATGGGAACAGATCCTGTTAGCTCAAGGCAAGGCGATGACAGGGCCACCCGGCCGCTTCAAAAGACTCACGTTAATGAGTCTTCACACGCGCTCCTTATGGGAATTTGATTCCTGCTACAGAGCAAAGCAGTCCTTGTCATTCAAAAAACTCCTTTACCCTTTCCTATCAGAACAAGGGATGCTGTCACCTGGCACTTGGGCTTTAATTACCTTGTGCATCCCAAACCCTTTACAAATGGAAAGCCCCACCAAGGGTTCAATGGTGACCAGTGAAGGTCAGAGACGGCAACCTGGACTCCTGTGCATCCATCTAGCTTGTAAAATGAGTACCACCAAGGTCACCGCAGCCAAGTCATACAGGGCTGGGGGGAACCCAGGGGAGGTGCCTGAGGACAGAACAGGGACATGTACTGAGCTGCCCTTCCTGCCCTACATATCAAGGCCATACTTTCTCCAAATTCTCAATGTCACAGGACCTTAAAACATTGCACGCAGAATCCTTTAAAACTTTTCACAGCAGTCATGCCCCTTGCAATCTGCATGGCAATTTTAAGCTGCAAGAAATGTCAGAACAAGGTTTGTCTCCTTCTTTAGTTAGGTCCAAATGGAATCCATGAAGTCTGCAACCAAAGCTAAGCCACTGGGAACACAAAAACAACCACTCACTCCTCTGCTGCTAACCAAGGCTCTGGAAGGGAGACTTCAGAGCAGGCAGGGCAGAAACCCCCAGAGGTGACTGTGGTCTCACCTGGGGACAGAACCTGAGAGAGTAGGAGTTATGCAGCATGAAAGGCCACATCAGAACCACAGGCCAGGAGGCCTGGCATCACAAGGAGTAGGCGTTCCAAGCACCAAGACGATCCTGTAAAGATGCAGGCCCCTGAGCCTTTGTGAACCCTGAAAAGCCCACTCCATGTCACAGGAGTCCTCCTACCAGGTATTCTCAGAAAGCGCTAAAGGTCCTGGTTAACCACGGTGAGAGGCCACTCTGACACCACCCAATGAGGACTGGCTGTGCAATAGAATGCTGGGGGCCCTGTGTCCTGTCCCTGCTCGGCTGTGGCAGCAACACAGTATGAAGATGAAACAACCAGAGGTCACTTGACTGCACGGTGGTTAAATAAGTACTATCGAGAGCATGTGGCTGGTCCCGGAGTTTCACAGTAAGTGACCCAATTTAAAAAACCAATCCTTCATGATGTTTTCGTGTTTCTTTCAGTTTTAAGTGGAACCTCGGATCTCAGAGGCCCTTGCTCATCACATTACAGGTCAGCATTACACAAAGGGGGCTGGGGCAGACATCTGAAGGAGTGGTCGCTGAAACCAAGCCTGAGGCAACACTGCGATCTCACTGGAGGCCAGCCCAAACACATCAGGGCGCTCCCATCCCCAGTACCACCCAGGCCGCCCAGGGAAGGGGCTCCAGGAGCGAAGCCAGATGGCCACCCTGCTCAGGAAGCATGAGGCTCCATGGTAGAACCAGGTCCAACTTCACAGTCAGCAATCCCAGATGAACTTGTCCGATCCTCTTTTCTACTAAGGAATTTTCCTTTCCAGTGAAATCCCTCAGTTGCCTAAGACTTGGTTTGGTCTTAAGGTAAAATAAAACTACAACTACACACTTTTTTGCCCATGATGTCGTGAAAATGCATGTTGACAGCCTGGTCCACTGATTGTTCGTCCTCGAAAGTAATAAATCCAAAACCTAGCCAACGACGAAGAGTGAATCAAGGTAGCAGGGTGTTGTGACACAAAACAGGATGATGAACAGTATTAGGGAGGGACCAAGGGATCGGCCCAGGGTTTCAGCTAAGCCCCGTGTAGAGAAGCTACAGCCAAGGGCCATGGCTCCCAAGGGAGCCATCGACCCAACAGAGTGGACAGACAGCGACATCTGCACTCTGCACCAGCTGACTGAGGTCTCCACCCGACACTGGGCGGGCTGAGTAGACGCGGGCTCTGTGTCAGGCACACTCTGGGGAGGAGAGGCACATCTCAGAGAGCCTCAGCCAGTGAGGCAAACAGACCCCTGTCGTCCAAGGCCTGGGCCACTGTCCTGGCTCTCGTCCATGAAGACGACTGTGAGCTGCCCCTGCGAGAGGGGAGACCTCACCAGGAACCCACCTCAGTCAGGGGTGTGCGCATGGGTGCATTTCTGCTTTTCTGAAACCCAGGATTCTCCCCCTTGGCTTGCAATTTGCTTTGCAGCTAGTGCTGACAGCAGCCATATATCGTTCTAAAGCGTTAAACAAAGTACAGAATCTACCACAGTGAGTGCCTCACTAAGCTTATCCAACACTGTTGGGTAAGCCCAAGGAGTCCTACCAGAGGTAACATATGTATGTTTATATGCATATATGTATACAGGTAAATAAATAGGTAATACACAAAGATACAGGCCACAACGGGTTCCAGCAGGTCAAATTCTGCTGTCAGCAGCAAGAGCAAGAGGCACCATGTAATCAAAAAAGAAAATTTTAAAGGAAAAAAAAAAAAACAAAAAAAACAATTTAGCATTTCCCAAACACAAGAAAGTGGCAGTATAAACGAAGTTTGGTTGGTCTGGGGTGAGCACAGCCACCCAGCTAATAGAGTGTGTCTCCTCTTCTATGGGTAGGAGTGACCAGAGTCTCCTGTCTGGTCTGAGTAGAATGAGACCGCAGAGCACATTGGCCTCCAAGGCGGCCTGATGAACACTACTACCTCCCGATGGCCTAGTACTTGGGCACTGAGAAGTGAGCAGCAAACTGCTACCCAAAGACCTCAGAAGAACAAAGATGGACAAGGGAAAGCCAAGAACCAGGTTGATAGGGGCTGTCATCTATGCCAGGGTCACAGGGCTGCTACAGAGCATCGAATGGCAGAGGGACAGCGTGATACAGGCAGCACTGTGCACCAGGAGAGAGGCACGAGCTGGTGGAGAAGGGACACAGGGTTTGAGCAGGCAAGGGGCCCTGGTAAGGAGCAACTGTGGACAGGGCTTCTCAAGCTTATGGACTGTGGTGCTGGAGCACTAGGTAGAGAAGTTCTAAGCAAAAACTGTGGGTAGGAAGAGGAGGGAAATGGGGAAGAAACGGCAGCTCAGGAATTGGAGGTGAAAAAGACCACAGCAAAGGAACCAGGTTCGGGAGTCTTCTGATTTGCCCTATGTGTGCACACGTGCATCTGAGCATGACTATGCACACCCGCACGCACCTGCAGGGATCAGGACACAACAGGAGAGGAGAGGAGAGAAAGTGAAACCATGAGGGCAAAGCACACAGAAGGGAGCACAGGTTGGAAAGGAAAAAAACCCAAGAACAAAGGGAGTGTGAGGTGAGCGGATGCAGCAGGCTGGAGCGAGTGTGAGGCCAGAAGTCAGGAACACGGGGAGGGCCAAGTGGGGACCATTGCGCAGCAGCAGGAATTTTCACACCAGGAGATGGTGTGTTGGGAACACAGGGACGGTCTCGCATACCGGGACATACATGTCCACTATTTTAAGTAAACCGAGACAAGGAACAGGGAGAAGGGAGACTGGAAGGGAGGCAGACTAGTTCTTAAAAAGATTCAGCAAAGCCAAGAAGACAGGGACTTGCTGTCTGGGAGGACCTGCTAACCTGCCCTCTGATAATCTGGCAACCCAGGGACAATTCCCAAGCCTGATGGCTGAGTGAAGCAGGAAACATGGGTCCCATGCCTGCCAGAAGCTTCCTCAATGTCAGCCCCTGTTGCCTCCCACCAGCTGGGCTCAGCGACCCTAGCTACTTCCAATCCTGATCGGACAAGCACAGTCAGAGCAGGCGGACAGCTCTGCACAGCTGCATTGGGACCAGGAGCACCCAAGAGCAGCCCTCAGATTCCCAAGCACTGGAGGTTCACAAGATCAGAGGCAATATTTGGAATACAACATAGGTGAAGAACGACACATTAGAAAGTTGACATTTTCTCAAACATCAGGAGTGTCTGAAGCCACAGGGCTGGCTCGGTCCGTGTACAGTACAAGAGGCGGTGGGCCGTGGGTAGGGAGCCCAGAGCAGGCTTTCTAGGAACGATCTGTCTGTCAAGAGGCGGCAGCGGGACAGAAACACACTGAAACTTCGTTTACACCCCACTGGAGCAAAGCCGCTCCCTCCTCTGACTGCGGGACGGGCCTGTACCTGTGTGATATAATTTAGCACCTGGAGAAGAGAAATCTAAAGAGATATCGTTAATCACAAACAATTCACAGAGAGAAAAGGAAAACAGCTTACTTAACATTACTGTACTTTACTACGAAACACTTAAGTACATCGCTAAGCACATATGTCTACGTTAAATTAAGACTTAACAGCTTAATCACCAAGTGAGCAACACGTTCCTTAACCATGGATAAGAGGAGGATGGAGGTTCAAATGGCAAACTATTCTCCAGCATGGCGGGCACATGCTGCGGGCTAGAGCCGCTTGGCTCTAAGGGGTTGCCTCCGCCTGACCTCAGGCAGATGGTGCGTGAGGGGACGTGTGACATGGAGCCACTGCGCAGACCTTGAACTGGCAGGTCTGCTCACGTGGCTAGTCCAAAAGCAGCTGATGAACCAAAAACATGGGCAGCAACAAATAGCAGCAGCCACAAAAAAAAAAAAAAAAAAAAAAGGGGGGGGGGGGGATGAAAGTGGGCACCCTCACCCACTCAGACCAGCGCAGACACACAGGTGTGGGAAGCTTGGGGAAGGATGCAGGAGGGCATGAGGCAGCGCCTCACCCCTCCTCCCACCTGCCCCTCTGGCTGAAGGGATAAAAACGAGGGGGTGGGAGAAAAGCATGGGATGGACAGAGGGAAGCCCGGATTCCAAGCTGAGCTGGGTGGGTACAGCTGGCACATGAGTGGGACTGGCCACACTGGTGAGGATGGGATGACACAGGTGTGAGACAGAAGCTCAGTCTGCAGAACCACACTCCTCCAGGAGACATTTAAAACAGAAACCACATCAAAATTCATGTCAGGTCATAAAAACTTCACAAGAACGAGCCAAAAACAATGTGTGATGTCTGACCTTGGGAAGCACAGACAGGCTGAATGGAGCTGCGCAGGGGAGAGCCTACATTTTAGCGGTTAGGTCTCCAATTTGTCCTTACTGAGCAATGTTCCCTACGACCACCACCTAGCCTGTGTCTAAGGGGGTGAGATAGTTTGCCATCTGAGGGGGAAGGGGCACAGGTCAGGACAAACTAGATTAGCCGTTACCTCGAGGCCTCTGCTTTTCTGCATCATAGATCATAACCACCTCGGTGACCTGGAGAGGAAGAGAGCAAAGTGAGGTGCAGGTACTATTTCTCTTTCTAGTAAGAGCCCCAAGCTTCAACTTTTGTGAACACCACGCTTGAGCTTGGGAAATTTTAGGGCCAAGGTAAGCTTTATAGGGTCTAGTGTATGAGAGCCCAACGTTGATGGGGTGGACAGAACAAACTGCTTTGGCCCCAAGGCTCCTGGGTAGGCACAGGGACACCAGCCACCAGGCTCAGCCCACTGCCTAACAAAATATTTGCAGAGAAAGGTGAGGCGACCATGATCCCAACTGCATGTCCTAGCAGGGGATGTGACCTAGGAGAGTCCACAGGTACCCTTCCACTAATATTTGAGGGAAGTGAGGCTTAGTCAGGTGAAGTAAGCTTGGACCTCATCACTGCAGGCAGCTGTGGGCTCTAGGATTCAGGCAGCAGCACCCAGTCGGCCAAGGCTCTGTACTCTGCCCCTGCCCAGTACTCCTTCCTCCCTGGCCCAGCCTGCAGCACCCTTAGGAATACCTGATAAAAAGACTGCAACCAGAGCTCACAGGCAGTCAACAGCTGATCCGCCGGCCAAGCCCATATACCTCGCTCCAAACAGAGCTGTGTCCCACCGCAGGCCCTCCCCAGTGTCAAGTCCCAGGGCTGACTGAACATCTCATAGGCTGCTCCACCAGGGCACTGAGTTCCCTGCAGGACTCCTCAAAATCTAAATTTCCAAAGGAATTCTCAAGGATTTCAGTCTTTCCCAGAAAAACCACTTAGGGGTAGCTTTGCCATCAGAGAAAACATCAAGGAGGAAATGGGTTAAAACATCTGTGATGCCAGAGAGGCCTGGAGGATAAGTGAACTTGCTTCCAGACTGCTGGGCTGTTTTGCCGATGCAGGACCCAGGAAAGCACCTCACCAGACCAGCCCACTGTACCTGAAGGCTGCTTCCTCACGGGCACCTGGTCTTGGGCCTTGGGGAGGGGAAGATGCTAACCTCAGTGTGGACCTGGTCTAGGGCCACCCCTCCAGCAACCAAGGGGCAGGATGACTTCTTGGGCACAGCTGGCTCCACAGCCAAGCCAAACACCATCCTCTTCACTACCATTATCTGATGATTCAAACCATGATGGTCACAAGACAATCAGAAGGGCAATCGTGAAGTCCATCTAATTTAGCACTTGCTGGAAAAGTCATAGGAACATTCTGCTGGATCTCAAATGATCATAAAGAGAAAGGCTGGGTCTTGTTTTCTTTTTTTGGGGGGGGGTGGGGTGGGGGTCGGGGACATGGGAATGTGCAGCAGATCCTCCAACTTTAAGGAGGCCAAGGATGGGAAGCACCTGCTGGGACCAGCCAGCACACTGAGGCACAAGGAACTTACCACTCCAAATTTCTTGAAGTATTCCCTGAGCTCTGTCTCACCACAGTTGTGAGGAATTCCACCAACGAAGATCTTGTTTGATTTACTGTTATCGCTCCGGGGTCCTTTCTGCTGTGTTGAGGAGGAAAAGGGGATTAGCTTGTGGTAGGACTTCAAACACTTCCCATTAGTTAGGTGTGACATCATCTTTGCATCTGTCCTAAGAGTCAGCTGAAAGCCAGACCAAACACACTCTAAAAATCCAAAGAGTCAAAAGAACACAAAAAACTGGGGCTGGGACTGGGGCTCAGTGGTGGAGTGCTCGCCTAGCATGTGCAAGGCCCCGGGTTTAATCCTCAGCACCACGTAAAACTAAATAAATAAGATAAAGGTTAAAAAAAAAAAGAACACAAAAACTGAGCTGAGATGACCCACTTCTCTGGTCATACATGGAGACTGTAATCATGGCATTTCTGCAAGGCTGTATTTCAGGTAAGGGTGAACACAGCACACCTTACGTCCCACCTCAGCTATTCTAAACAACAACAGCCACAACCATTAAAAGCTCTGCAAGCCAGACTTGATGGTGCACGCTTATTGTCCCCGCTAGACAGAGGCAGGAGGGTGGCTCGAGGTGAGGAGTTCAAGACCAGCCTGGGTAACATAGTGAGACCTTGTCTCAAAAACTCCCACAGCTCTGCAATGCAAAGCTAGAGATTTTGAAGGAGTGAGGAGAAGGCAGCTTTGAGGATCATAGACAGCTGAGAATCAACTGCAAGATATCTGCTCCTTCTTCCTGCCCCTCTGTTTCCAATCCCGACTTCCTTTCCCTATCCAAGGACATCATGTTTTATGTTGCCCCAACTGCTTTGGATTAAGAGACCAGACTTTGGGGAATGAGAGTTCACTGCCATGATGGGTGATGGTTTCGTGGGTGCACAGGTCAGTCAAGTCATCAAGTTACGCAGTTTATTTTTTTTTATGCCTAATACATCTTATAAAATGGCTAAGAGACTAAAATGTCTTAACTAGGGCTCAGTGGTAAAGCACTCGCTTAGCAAGTGTGAGGCACTGGGTTCGATCCTCAGCACCACATAAAAATAAATAAATAAATAAATAGAAAGAATAAAGGTATTATGTTAAAAAAAAAAAAAAAGACTTAACTAATAACCAGACAGAACATAACCCTTGACTGGACTTCAGGAGACAAGAGATATTTGTGAAGCAATTCTGGAAACAGGAGTACAGACCAGACACACGACATCCTTAGGTGTGGCGACGGTGAGGGTGGGGGATCTGACTTTAGGAGGACACACCACTAGTTAGGAGGGATACATGTAGTCAGACATAGGCATAAATATACATAAATATTTGGCAAAATTTAACAGCTGATGAATCTAGTGGGATATTTAGATATTCACTGTACCAGTCTTCCAATTTTCCTGTACTTAAAAAATTTGAAATATAACATCGGGGAAAAAAAATGTTGCAAGGTCTAAAGTCTCATCCTCCATAGCAGCTAGAATACTGCTGGAAAAGCAGATTCTCAGGCTCCACCCAGCCCTCTGACCAGGGGCACCTGGAGGGGTCAACTCAGCGCTATCCAGAACTCTCTATAAAGACAGGAGTGCTCTCCATCTGCATTGCCCCATGAAGTTCTAGTGATGCAACTGCTGGGCCAGGCAAAGGCAGTATGTATGCTGGCAAAACCCAAAACCAACTAAACACCACTCAAGGATGATAACTGTACCTGAGCAACAGGGACCACAGTTCATGAGAAACCCTTCACCACAGGATGGGGTTTTAAGTTCAGTTGACCACCTTACCCATGATCACTTAGGACCATTAAGAATTTTCTTGGTTACAAGATAAAATGCAGTACAGGCTAAAACTGGGCAATTATCAATTGCTCCAGGGTCATCTAGAAGACCTCTACTGCTCTCCTGCTTAATGAGCAACACCACCAGAGGAAAACATATTTTCCCTTTAAATCTGCCCAAAGTACACACAAGGAGGCCAGGCGCTGAGGGACACGATGCAATCCCAGTGACTCGGGAGGCTAAGGCAGGAGGGTTGCAGGTTCAAGGTCAGTCTCAGCAACTTAGTAAGGCCCTAAAGCAACTTTGCAAGACCCTGTCTCAAAATAAAATAAAAATGCCTAGGGGTGCAGCTCAGTGGCAAAGCATGCCTGGGTTCAATTCCCAGTTAAAAAAAAAAAAAAAAGCATTCACAAGGAGGCCTCCCAACCCCAGCCTCTTACCCATCCTTCCTTTGGCCGTGTTCGCTCTGGCTGCATTCCCCGAGGAGTGCATGGCTTCGGGTCGATCTGTAGGAAGTTTCAAACCGGCCCATTGTGAACATAGGCTACTTTCTCTAGAAAAGAAGGTGTTTCCAACAGCAGCCAGCTTCATGGCACACTGGCCCACACAGGCCACCCAATTGGCCCAATCCTCCAACAGCTAGTCCAAATACCAAGGCCCAACCCCTTTAAATCCAGCCCACATTAAAAGACTCTAAAATAAACATCAGTCAAAGTTCAGTCAGAGAGTTAAGCTGAAGGAATGGCAAACAAAAGACAGGGCAGGAAAGAATGAGAAGACACTTACATTCCGGCCGTCCAGGGTGTGTGGTCTGCTGGCCAGCACCGTCCCCACACAGTTTGGGTCTTTAAATTTGACAAATCCAAAACCACGAGACTGGTTGGTTGTTTTATCTTTCATGATAACACAGTCAACAACTTCTCCATATTGGGAAAAGTAGCTGCGCAGAGTCTCTGCTCAAAGATTGGGAACAAAAACACAAACACACACAAACCAGGGCATTAAGCAAACACATCTAACAGTTGGAGGGTGCACATGCACACTCACTTGCTTCCTTCCAGTTCATCGGCCTTACCTGAACAAGTCTGGGATGAGCAACACATGAACTGGCTTAGCAACTAGCTGCTGAGGGGAGGAAGAGGGCCCAGAAGAGGTACATGGAGATGGGCAAGGGAAATTCTGCACGACAGATGCATTACATCCTCATAAATTAGAAAAGGGACAAGTGACCTTAGCAATAGCAGATAGCTCTGTTCTGCTTCATAGGAACAGGAGAGCAAAGCTTAAGGGGATGCAAACATGACAACATTTGAGTGACAACCAGCAACCCAGGAATGCTGACTTGATTCTGAACAAAATGCTGACTTGATTCTAGCAAAACCCTAGACCTCTACCCCACAGTGAATAGTTCTGACTCCATAACCTTCTTGTGGCTTGCAACTGTGGGCCACAGTCTTCCTGTGGCTCTGACCAAAAAGATCAAGACCAATTTAACAGATTCAAAGGGAACACCACTATCTCTGCCCCTAGACAGCTCCCAGTCAAATGTCTCCTGCCCAGAAACCCAGACAATGTCCAAGGACTTCAACAAATCCCAGGCAGTAGCAAGAGATGAGGTCAGGGAGCCTCACAGCCTGCAGCACCTACCTTGGGTCGTGCTCCAGTCAAGTCCGCCCACAAAGAGCTTCCTGCAATTCAACAGAAAATGTTCAGGATCAACTTGACTCTCAGCTCAGGATTGTTCCCATCCCACCATGCCAAGAATGTAATTCAAACAAGGAATATTGCAAATGGGCTCATGTATGTCCCCTCTGGAGCATACACAGCTACAGCTTTGTCCACACTTTTGTTCAGACATGAGCAATGATTCCAACTTGTACCATAGGTGTGTCATAGAACCCTCTGACTACATGAAATCATGCTACTTCCAAGTGGGGCTTGGAAATTCCAGCATCTGCAAATATTTTATAATCAGGAAAAGGAATTAAGGAATCTAGATTTGATTTTTTTTTGGGGGGGTGGGTAACTAGGGATTGAACTCAGGGGCACTAGACCACTGAGCCGCATCCCCAACCCTATTTTGTATTTTATGTAGAGTCAGGGTCTCACTGAGTTGCCTAGTGCCTCGCCACTGCAGAGGCTGGCTTTGAACTCGCAATCCTCCTGCCTCAGCACCCCCAAGCCTCTGGAATTACAGGTGTGCAACATGGGGCCAGCTTAGATTTGATTTTAACTGGAAAAGAAACTGACACGTAAGATATTCGTCCCACCCAGCCTCTGAATTACAGTTAAGGGTGTGGATTCCGTGCTGGAGCCCTATACCCACATCCCCACCTCAAGGCAGCCTTTTTGGATAGATGCAGGGGGCTTTCATGAAGTATCCCATCTCCAAGGTCTCAGCTTTCCCAGTTCTCAGGGGCCAGGCAGGACCCAGGTTGAACAGAAGCAGCCAGGGGCAAATGCCCTGAAGGCCTGGGTGGAGCCAAGGCTGTGCTTATCTTCTGTTGCCCAGAGCACCCACTGGGCACAGCTGAGACACACACGGGGCCTCAGAGCTCACCTGCCTATGGGGCCTCAAGATTCCCCCAAACTCAGGGGGCAGGCCAGGTGAACCAGCTATAGCTTGCATGTCCTGCCCATTACATCAGGAAAGAGAACACACACTCATCAGTTCCTTCATCTGAGCCTCAGCTGTGCCAACCCCATCATCACCCTCCCAACTAGACCATCTTCAGAGACCAGAGCACCCTTCAGGCTTAGGGTCACCACCTGAGACACAAGAAATCTTCTGGCATCACTAAAAACGCCAGACCACCATACTACACTGGGCTCTTCTCAACCCCCCCAACTCTGGCACTCTAGTACTGGGGGTTGAATCACTAACCATACCCCTAATACTTCTCTTTTTTTATACCTTTATTTTGTTTATTTTCATTTCATGTGATGCGGGGGGCTCACGCATGCTAGGCAAGCACTCTACCACTGAGCCCAACCCTACCACCAGAAAGGTACAAACCACCATTTTCAAAGTGCCAATAAGCAAGCCCTGCGTTGGCCAGACTAGTTTAAGCTCTAAGCCTCATTTAAATTCCAAATCCAAAACTTAGGTATTAAGGGTGAGAGACTAGAAAGGCCATTATCATCACAGCTGACACAACTGGAATAGAACCTGCAGATCACATAAATGGGCCTCAAGATGGCACTCTACTTTGGGAAACAGGACACCTCGTGGTGTCCAATCCTTTCTAAACATTTTTTATTTTGAGGTAGGATTTCATTAGGTTGCCTAGACTGTTCAAACTGCAGATCCTACTGCTTCAGCCTCCCAAGTGGCCAGGATGACAAGTGTGCCCAGCCATACCTGACTTTGAGACAAGACTCTTCCCCAGTGAGCAATGTCCCATCAAGGGAGCTTAGAGCCAAAAGGAAGCTTCCTCTGACAGCTCCTGACAGCTGCCCCAGGAGCTACCCTTGCAAGGCGGCTGATGCACCCATCACTGCTCAAATCCATGACCATGACCCTCTGTAAATGCCAGCTTCCCTTTGTCAGCCCTTCTGTCAAGGATTGTTCCTACTCTTTTCCTCCAAGGAAAAGTAATTTAGATTTAGTGTGAAAAACAATTCCCCACCACCAGAAAGGTACCCACCACCATCTTCAAAGTGCCAATAAGCAAGCCCTGCGTTGCCCAGTTCTTGCATGGGGAGATGAGAAGGGCAAGGATGCAGAACCTTCCTGGAGACAGATCTGTAAAGACATGTTCCAGGGGAGATGTGCTGATCAAGCAGCCACAGGAGGCTCAGGTTTAGGCCTCATTAACTTAAAACCATGAGTATCCTACACACCTTGGAATGGGGCCAGAGAGTGCTGAGGTGAGGCCAGGCCAAGCAGGCAGACAGCAGGCCTCTTTGTGCCTCACTCCCCACAGACCGAGGGCAGGTCTGTGGTAGGCCATAGGTGAGAAGGCTAGTGACATCCACAGAAACCAAATCAAAGCAAATCCCACCTTACCAAAAAATGCCAGTCTTTATTTAGCACCGTCTCCAAGCAAAACAATGAGGGGATAAGCAGGTGTCCTCCTCCAAGCAACTCAATCTTTGCCAGGGCTGCCACTGCCAGGACAGAACTGGCCAGACTAGTTTAAGCTCTAAGCCTCATTTAAATTCCAAATCCAAAACTTAGGTATTAAGAATGAGAGGCTAGACAGGCCATTATCATCACAGCTGACACAACTGGAATAGAACCTGCAGATCACATAAATGTGCCTCAAGATGGCACTCTACTTTGGGAAACAGGACACCTCGTGGTGTCCACAGAAAAAAGAATCAGGTCTCTAGCTTACTCTCAAAATATTAAAAAACAAAACAAAAAACAACAACAAAACAATAGTGTTGGGGGGAGACTACAGCAAAACTATCATGTGCAGATATGGAGCCATTGCTAGCCAGTGGCTGGGCAGAGTACATCATGGGAATTTTTGTTACTATGTTGGTAATTTCTCTGTAAGCCTGAAGTGATATACAATTATAAGTTATGAAAACTTTCATTACTGAGGAAATGATGTAATTTAAGTTTTTTCTGAAACAGTCTCATCACTCATGAAATCTGACAGACAGTAAGCACTCTACACTACTTGCTGAGGAAAAGAAAACTCGCCTGTGTGTGAAAACCTTGTGTGTTTCTTTCCTTTACTCCTGCTTGGAAGGGGACAGCAGGTAAGGGGACACATTCCCCCAGTCAACAGGGGGAAGGTTCTAGAAGGTCCCAGGAAGAAGGCTGCATCTCCTCAGTTGCAGGGGTCAGCTCTAGGAATCTGGCACAAAGTCCTAACCTCTGAACCTTGTTTTTTTTTTTTTTTTCCCTTTTTTTCAATCAATAAAATAAGAAAGCCCCTGGCAGCCAACACACCAGGAGTGAGCAAGAAGCCAAGAGGAGTTCAAGGCAAAGACTCAGAAGGTTCTCTTAACCAGGATCAGCTCACTTAGGGGCCAAGACACTTCTTTGTATTAATCGGTAGCCCGGGTGTTTCTGTGCCCAGCTTGCTCACACTATGCCTCCCCCAGCACAGTGTGGCTAGAAGGTGTGAAGTAAGGGATTAGCACAAAGCTCTGCTCCCAGGCTCTGCCTCTGCAGGGCTCATAGGTAGGGGTCATTACCCAACAATGACACCTCTCATATGGCTTCTCTATGTGGCCCAGAGCCAGGAGGTCTGCCAGTTCCACTTGTCCAAACCAATGTATTCTGTGACATGCAAGCATCGTACCCAGGTTCAGATCCAGTCCAAAGCCCACCAGCTGGGCTGGGGATATAGCTCAGTTGGTAGAGTGCTTGCCTTGCATGCACAAGGCCCTGGGTTCCATCCCTAGCACCATTTAAAAAAAAAAAAGCCTAAGGTCCCAAATCCCACTGGCTCTGTGCATGCTCAACGTTGAGTGTTAGCCCAAGACTGCAGATGGCTTCAATCTGGAAGGGGCTCTGCAGAAGTGGCCTGCCTGCTAAAACAAAAACCTGTCTGAGGAGGACTTCCCAGCTTCTGCTATGTGCTTTAGGGCAACCACAAGGTATTTATGCCAAAAAATAAATCTCAAAGGGCTTCCCCTGGTCCTGGGTAACCACAGAGCGCTATGGGCCTTCTGGCGGGCTTCAGGATCCAGCAAGCAGCCTCACCAGTAGCAGTCAGCAGGCAGATGACCTCGGGCAGGGCATTGGAGCCATCAACTGACTTGACTGGCCCAGTCTCCGTCGCAGTCACTGGTTCTTCTTGGACTTAGTTCACAGGGCAAGAAGCAGAAGGCCAGGACCAATCTCGACTGTTTTGTAACAAGGACTTTTTCTTCTCAAGAACATAAACAAGCCAGGAGTGGTGGCGCACACCTGTAAGCCCAGCCCCAGCGGCTGGAGAGGCTGAGTCAGGAGGATCGCGAGTTCAAAGCCAGCCTCAGCAATAGCGAGGCACTAAGCAACTCAATGAGACCCTGTCTCTAAATAAAATACAAAATAAGACTGGGGATGTGGCTCAGTGGCTGAGTGCCCCTGAGTTCAATCCCGGGTACCCCTCCCCACCAAAAAAAAACATAAACAAACAGAGCCTATGTGTGGAATTTCTAGCTTCTTCAGATGAGGGCCTCCTAGGCCTAATCTCCAGGAGTTTTGTCCTCCCTTAAACCATGACCTCCAAAATCACTTGGGTCCTTATTCTCCCAAAGGGAAGGAGGCAGACCCTGAAAAGGCATACACTCCTGCCCAACCTTGGGAAACCACAAGGGCCAGATGGGAACCCACATCACAGTCCCCATGTGAATTGTGAGCCTGTGGTCCATTCCCAGTTCAGCTCCTCCCCTTGACAGCAGGGAATGTGACACAGGACAAGCCCCACAACTTCAAAGGCAGTGACATGCTGCTTCATGAACAGCCTCTACATGCCCTCATCCCTAGTTTATTGGTGACATCCATACCCTACCCCTCAAGATCATTTGTGTCCCACCTTCCCAGACATTCCAGGATCCTCCTGATCCAAACAAAGTCAATAAGCATGTTTGTTAAGGGCTGGGATGTGACTGTGATGTGGCTCAGAGGTAGTGATTGCCTAGCATGTCCAAGGCCCTGGGTTCATCCTTCGCACTGCCAAAAAAAAAAAGACTAAAGCAAAGCACTTGTCAAGGAGGTGGCCTCCTGCCTAAAGCACCATTCACATCAATTATAGTGAATGACATGGTAAAGTGGCACAACTGCTTGTAGCACCTTCCAAAGGAACAGTCGTGCCACAGGACTGGGCCTGCCTGGGACAAAAGGTCTTACACACAGAGACAACAAAATTGCAACATGGGAGAACAGTGGGGCCCAGCCCACATGCATTCTCTGTGCCACCAGGACAGTGGAAGGGCCTGGGACTCCCCGTCTGGCCAGTCCATTCCCTGGGTGACCCTAAGCCAAATTCCCTCACCTCATGAGCTTCAATCTCTCTGGCAAAGGGAAGGGTTAGCATCAAGACCACTGTGCTCCCAGGAGGTGTGGAGAGCACCGAGTTACTAGCCCTCGTCAGGGGTGACAGTGCTAGCTCTCTGCAGATGGCCTACTAAACCTCTGAAATCAAATGCAAGTTAAAAACACATTCCAAATCTGTGGCCAATTTTGCAGGACTTAGACCAGCCCAACACAGGAAATAAGTCCTAAATCCACACAGAACAAATGAAGGCACACATTGGAACCAGGCCACAAGGAGTAAAACTGTGCTTACTCTGGCAACACATCCCATCCCCCAAAAAAGCTAGAGCAATAGAGAAGGTCAGCAGAGTCGCTGCATGCAGGAATGACTTCAAAATGCAGGAAGCATTAAGATAATCCCCAACTGTGGGCTCTCACTTTGAGCAATTCTGTCCCCAGGAGACACTGGGCCCTACATTGGGACATGTGTGGTTGCTCCAACAAGGAGTGGGTGCCAGAGATGCTCCTCAGCACTCTGCAGTGCCCTGGACACCCCACCTCAGGACACCCCACAATACCCAGGGGGAAACCTTCCTCAGAGTAACTTCTAACATGTAAGAAAAGCCCCTAAAGGGCTGTCTGTGCTACCCACACACTAGATTCTAAACATTCGAAGAACAGCCTCCTCTTCAAATCATGGCTTCCTCTGATTCAACCTGTCCTGCTCTTGCTCACAGGGAGCAAGCACTGGGTCCAGTTGGGAGCTCAACTCTTGGGTGTCTACTTTCCAAAGCCATTCCAATAAATTATTTCAGAAGAACCCAAGCCCTTTGTGTGTGGACCACTCCACAGCTGCACTGCTTCTGCCATGGTTAGAGTGCATCCCCCAAAGTCACTAAAATTAGACAGGTGATCCCTAGTGCAAGAGCTGAGAGGTGGGACCCTTCAGGATGGTTCTGGATCACAGGACAGAGCCGTCCTGACTGGATTCCCAACCCTTAGCACAGGATTGAGTCTGACCTAAAGGATAAGTTCAGTCCCTCCCCTCTCTCCCATGTGCCTCTGTCACACATGAAGGCCCTCACTCATCATGGGCCCTTGATCTAAGACTTTCAACCTCTAGAACTGGAAGAAATCAAACTTTGTTCTTTATCAACTGCCAAGTCTCAGAAACTCTGTCATAGCAGCACAAAACAGACTCAGAGACCCTCCTTAACACCCAGCTTTAGCAGCTGCCCATCCTCCTTGTCCAGCTGCAGCCCAGCAGGCAAGTGTACCCACACCAAATTCCAAGGTCTTTTCCACTATCTGTGACTTTCCTTCCTCTGTGACTCTTTCTTCAAAGGTCTCCAGTGTCCCTTTCTTGTGATTCTGAGTAGTTCAGACAGTGACAAACACGTCACATAAAATCTTCCACAACTTCCTTCCCTCCAGTTCCATGACAGTCTGTCACTTTGAAGGCTGGCAGGACTATGTGGTCTGTGCACCTGAGGTGACAATTCAAAACCTTTCTGTCCACCTGCAATGTAGGCATGGGCCTCCCCAATACCTGGGAACAATGATCAGCCACTCATGGTGAGACTCTAGAAAACAATGCTCTTTGTAATCCTGTGTTTCAGAATTTTAATGGGAGGGACCTAAACCAAGGTAGGATGACTTCCCAGAGCCAGGCAGAGCAGGGCACCCTAGGCTCAGAGCTTCCCACCCATGCTTCTTAGCTCCACACTCCCCCACTTGGTGCTCAGGCCTCAGAAGCCTGGCACTTCAGCACCTCTAGTAAGGGAAGGGGAGTGGCCCACATGAAACTCCTCACTCCTTCCTGCCCTAGGAGCCAGTCTCTAGGCTGTGCGAATCAGGAGGCGGACCACGCTAAGTAAACTCTGGGTGCCTCACTCTACTTCTACGGCACCAGGCTGCTCACAGACAAACTAATCTCTTCCTTCAAAGACTCAAACCCAAGAGTGTGGGCGGCACACACCTGTAATCCCAGGGAGGTCAAGGCAGGAGGATCTCAAGTTGGAAGGCAGCCAGGCAACTCGGCCAGGCCCTGTCTTGGGGAGACCCCGTCCCGGGATGTGGCTCACTGGCAGAACACCTCTGGGCTCAATCCACGAAAGTGGGACTGACAGAAGGATGATCCCTTGCCAGCCTTCCCAGACAGCCATCCCAGGTGTGAGCGCATGAGGGGAGGGGTCCGGAGGCCAGCGCTGCCCAGCCAGAAGCATGCATGTCAGAGCGACACGACGTGGCTGCTGTCCACCCCACCTCAGGGCCTGGAGGCGACAGCAGGGGTGAGTTCTGAGGGAAGTGCATGTCACTGGACACTTCGGATTCACCTGCCACCTGCTTAAAAACCAAGCCCTGCTTCACCCTGAGCGTGGCACTGCCACCGGCGCCCAGTCAGCAGCAGGTTCCCTCCCAGGCGCCGCGGGAGCCTCCCTAGGCCGCACACCGGGGTCGCCAAGCACCGGGCGGACACTGGCGACCGAGCCCTCCCGCAGAGCAGCAGAAATTCCCGGGTTCTCGGCGACTTCCAAGTTCAGGGCTGCGACGCGGCGCCACGGCCCGCGGAGCTGGGTGACACTCACAGCCCTCCGAAGTCCCGAGTCCCCGAGGTCCTTCCGTACTCCGCGGAGGCCCCCTCCCGGCTCCCGGCCGCACTCGCCACGCCACCAGGCCGACGCCGGCGGGCGCCTCACCCGGCGCGCGTCTCCGGGCACCGGCAGCAGGGCGGCCGCGGCGAGCCCAGGCGCTCCGCCCGAGGCCGGGGTCCGGGCGCCTCACGCCGCCTCTGCCGAGCCCGCCCCGCGGCGCCCCTGCCCGGGCGGCTCACCGGAGGCCGCGGGGCGCCGAGGCCCCGCGCGACCCCGGCCTCCCCGCCATGTGCGCCGACCCCAGTTCCGGCGCGGGCCGGGGACACCCGAGCCCCTCAAGGCACCGCGCCGGGTCCCCCCCGGCCGAAACGCCGGCGAGGCGCGGAGGGCGCGCCCGGGACGTGCGCCTGTCCCCCGGGCCCCCTCGAGGCGCCCGCACGCCGGCTCCGCCCCGGCCTGCGGCCCCCGGCGCCAGGCAGCCCGCGCCCGCATCCGCCCCCCGGCCGGCGTGACCTTGACGGGCCGGCCCCCCGCCCGGCCCGCCCCGGGGGCGGCGTCTCGGGGCCGGCGGCGGGGCGGGGGCGCGGGCCCGGGGCGGCGGCGCAAGCTGGCCCGCGCGTCCTCACCCGATCTCGTCGGCTCCCGAGTTGTTCATGGCGGCGGCGGCGCTCGGCGTCCCCGGGCCTCCTGGCTCGCTCCCGCCTCCGGAAGGTCACCCGCTCAGTCGCCCTCCCCACAGCCGCGGCCCGGATCTGCGCAACGGCGGCGGCGGCGGCGGCGGCTACTGCCTCCTCCCCTCAGCGCCAACGGTCACCGCGCGTCCCCGCGCCGCCGCGCCGCCGCCCTGCGCACGCCCGGGCGCGCTCCCGCACGGGGCCTCCGAGGGCGGGGCCAGGGGTGCGCCGCGCGTGCGTGCGGGCCGCACGAGGGCCCGCGCCGGCGCAGTCTTGGTCGACGCTCGTCACACTTCCTCTTCTGCTGCTCCTGGGTAGCCGCGGGGCACGCTGGGAAAGAGAGTCCTCGCGTTGGCCCCGCCTCCAGGAGAGGGCGCGCAGGCCGAGCCACGTGCGTGCGTGCGCGTGTGCGGCGGCGCGCGCAGGCGCAGTTGCAGCTTCCTCTAAGTCCGCTGGCGATTCCCGTGCGCGCGTGTTGACCGCTGTGGATAAAGCCCTGACTCGCGGTCCTCTGGCGGTACACGGCGTCTGCCGCGCTCTCGTCTTGGGCCATGGATCCTCTTCATGTCCCTGTTTCGCAGAAGAGGGTACTGAGTGGCACAGAGGCTGAGTCACTTGCCCAAGATCACTTATGGGTCTGATTGGGATTAAAGCAAAAGCCAAATTCGACAATTGTGAAAAAATAGTATCCACCCCGCGAGGTAGTTCTTTAGTTCTGTGGATTGTCTACTAATGATTCTTCGAAACAGGGCGATTTTGTCCCCCTGGGGACACTTGGCAGTGAATGAAGATTCAGTTTGTTTGTCACAAGTTGCAAACCTCAAGAGGGTGAAGACCAGAGATGCTGCTCCACACCCTACAATGCACAGGATCGCGCCACCACAGAGAACGACACCCCCCCACACACCTTGTCAACAGGAGGTGGAGAAACACCAGTCTACACGGACAGATGGATAGTCATCTGTATTGATTTGTCACATGGTACTATATGCTGCTGCCTTGTGATTTTCCCCATAGCTTTTATCCCCATTGATAACCTGGGTTCCATCGCCAGTATAGGGCGTGTGGGACACCTCCTGTAGCCCTCCTTACTTCTTGCAAAACATGTTGCTCTCAGCAGGCTCTGGAGGAAGTGACTGTCATTGGTTCTCAGCCACAGGGAAACAGACCCAGCAGAAGGGACAAGCAGTCCCAGGTGGCTGTCCACCTCTCAGGGGTCATACTGCACTGTAACATTTTGGAAGTCAAAAAATTAGTTAACAGGTTTTTTGTTTGTTTGGTACCAGGGATTGAACTCAGGGGCACTCAACCACTGAGCCACATTCCAGCCCTATTTTGTATTTTATTTAGAGACCGTCTCACCTCGCTTTTGCTGAGGCTGGCTTTGAACTCACTCTTCTTCTGTCTCAGCCTCCTGAGGCGCTGGGATTACAGGCGTGGTGCGCCATCATGCCTGGCTGTTAACAGTTTTGAAAGTGATCAGGCTCGGAGGTAGGTGTCAGGAAGGCTAGCTCCTGGGATTGGGCTGGGCTGGGTATGGCTGCCAGGGTGAGCAGGAACTGATGGCAGGCTGGCTTGGCCTTCCAAACTGCAGAGGCTGGACAGCACTACATCAAGGAATCTGCCCCTCAGACGCTAGCTAAGTGTGTGTAGACAGAGACGGCCCAGGATGCCCACAGACCACATGTCCATCCCTCAGTGACAGGGGCCAGCAGATACAGTGCACAGGATGTGGTTGAAAGGAGGAAGCCAGGCACGAACTGCTTAAAATAGTATATTTTAATATATATAGACACCTATGAGGGATGAATAATAGCCATGTATTTGCCACTGAAATGAAAACGTTAGGTTTTTGCCACGTTTACTTCAAGATATTTTTTAAAAATGAAGCGGAGGGCTGGGAAGTGGCCCAAGGGCAGCTATGCTTTGCTGAATGAGGCCTGGTTCAATCTCCTGGGTGCAGAAGAAAAAAACAGTAGAAGAGCTTGTTCCCTCCAACCCAGGCATTTCCTCCCTCCCACTCCAGGGCAGATACAGCAATAAAATAGGTGTTTTGACACTTCTCTGAATTTACTTTCAATGTGAGAATATGCATGCCAAAATATACACTTCTCCCCACCCCCTGCCTTTTGTGTTACTGGGGACTGACACCAGGGATTCCACCACTGAGCTGCATACTCAGCCCTTTTTATTTTGGGACAATTTCACTGAGTGGCTGAGGCTGGCTTTGAACTTGTGATTCTCCTGCCTCAGCCTTCCAAGTGGCTGGGATGACAGGCATGTGCCACCACATCCAGCTTGGCCCCTGGCACCCACATGCTACTTGCTGTCTCTGGATCTTATGACTAAAGATTTCCTGTGATTCCTGCAGTGTGTAGTCTTTTGAGTCTGGCTCTCACTAAGCACAAGGTCCTCAGTGTCCATCCACATTGTAGCAAGTGTCCTTTTCATGGCTGAATAATATTCAGACACACTGTGTATATCCATTCATTGGTTGATGGACGTTTGGGTTGTTTCCACCAGAAGAAAAAAACAGTAGAAGAGCCTGTTCCCTCCACCCCAGGCATTTCCAGGGATTGTGAATAGTGTTGCCCTAAGCATTTCCAGCCATCAACTATAGCTAACGCCTGTGTGACCTCTTTATTACATATGATAGCATTATATATAGTGTTAAATACTATCATAGTATTATATATAATTATAACTATACATAATGTTACTACATACACAGAAAGGCAAAGCAGCATAAATGTTGCCTGATAAAACAGCTATCTGGGTGTGGGACAGGGACCCTGGGGACTTTGTTCTTCACTGTACAGTGGCCACCACAGCTGTGGTGTTGGCTCATTGTTAATTGTCCAGCCCAGTAGATGATGAGCTCCCACGGAGGTGGTGTGGGCCTGCCCTGCTCATGGCTCTTGGCTGGGACCCTGGGTGCAGCTCAGAGCCTGCACAGCAGGGTGCTTGATGTGGTAGACAGCACTGCAGACCTCTGCAGAAACAGCAGTGGGGGTGACTGGGGTGGGACCCAGGGCCTTGTGCATCCTAGGCAAGGGCTCCACCCTGAGCCACACCCAGCTCAGATAGCAAATACTACACTGTGAACTTGGAGTTGAAAAGCACCCACAAGATGTGTAGGTGATGGTTGTGGCTGTGTGCCAATAAAATTTTACTTAAAAGCACAGGAAGTTTAAAAAAAATCACGTAACTTCTGCCCACGAGGAAATATTCTAATTTTGATTTTGTAGTGCTCACTGTGGCAAAATACTGAAATTGGAACAATGGAGATTTTTTTTTTTCTATCATATAAAAACATCAACGTGGTTCTTAGCACCACAGGAAACAAGCAGCAGGGTTTGACCTCTGGGCTGTCGCTGGTAGACTCCTTCTTCACCATGTCTCATTATTCTGGTTGAATATGTTACCTATCAGAAAATAAGTATTTTTCCTTTGTTTTGTTCTTTTAAAATTATGGCTGTATGGCTGGGATGTGGCTTAGTTGATAAAAGTATGGTTCCAGAATCACACATACACCTGTCCCCATCTCCTGTGACACCAATTTACTGTGTACACTTGGGAAGGAACTGGCCAGGAAGGTACAGTGTGCACACCTGTCATTCCAGCAACTCAGGAGGCTGAGGCAGGAGGATCACAAATTGGAGGCCAGACTTTGCAACTTAACAAAACACTGTCCTAAAATAAAAATGGGAGGGGGTGCAGCTCAGTGCATGAGAGCTCCTGGAAGCCACTTGCCATCTCTGAGTCTGGGTTTATAGGCTGTAGAGCTTGGACAAAGGCACAAACCAGGCCTCTGCGAGCAGACAGTGTCTCCATTTGCCAAGTTAGAAAAGGCGGGAGTGGTCACAGTACAGGAAAAGGCTGAAGCTTGAACTTGGCCAAGTGCCAGCAGAATGTGCCTGCTCTTGCTGCGGCTGGATGTGGAGCCCAGGTGGCCTCTTGGGCTACCACTGGGAGGTTCCCCCTCACACACCCGCCATCTTTTTTTTTTTTTTAGAGAGAGACAGAGAGAGAGAGAATTTTTTAATATTTATTTTTCAGTTTTCAGTGAACACAACATCTTTATTTTATTATCATTTTTTTATGTGGTGCTGAGGATCGAACCCAGCGCCCACCCCCCCCCACATGCCAGGCGAGCCGGTTACCCGCTTGAGCCACATCCCCAGCCTCACCCCCGCCATCTTAATGGAAGCCTCCTGCCCTCTGCTGGCTCTGATGAGGCAAGTTGCCATGCTGGCAAGACCCTGTACAAGAGCCCAAAAGAAACTGCATTGTGCCAGTGGCCATGGGTGAGCTTGGCAGCAGACCCAGCCCCAGGTAGGGCTTCACGTGGGGACCACAGCACTGACTATACTAGTTGCAGCCTTGGGAGGGATGGTAGGCCGAGGACATACTCAGTTGCATTGCTGACCACAGATACTGGCCTGTTTGCTGCTGTTCAGGAGGTCTAGCAACAGCTGATGAATGGTGGGTCTCCTCCTTCCTGTGCATTCCAGGGCTTCCCTTGGGTTGGGCAACACTTAGTGAGTATCATCTGTTTGTACAGGACACACACAGGGGAGCAGGCTCCACCATGCCCTGTACGCATCCCAGGGCCACTGCAACACCAGCCAAGGTGCCCATCATAGGCTGGCAGCCAGGAGTAAGAGCCCAGACAGGATGAAGGACTGGAGAACAGCACAGGGAAGTGCAGCTTGGGCCCTGCCCCCTGGGGGTCCTGCCCTGCCCTCATGGTCAGACCTCATTCTACCTAACCCATACTAGGTATTCATGAAGCTTTCTGTGTGCCAGGCCTGTCAGATAGCCTTTCAAATGTACAAAGGGAAGAGTATGTGCAGAGGTCAGGCAGAGGGACAGAGTGCTCCTGAGGCTGCTGAGGAGGAGGCCTAGGGCCCAGGCAGGCCTGTAGCAGAGAGGCACCCTGGAAAGTGCAGGGCAGAGGCCTGGCATGCAGCCATTGCAGAGGCTAGCTCTGCAGCACCGAGCCCTCCAACTCTCCTTGCCTCAGTTTCTTTGTGTGTTACTGTTACTCGGGAATGAAACAGCCCCGCCTGTGGACTGTGCAAAGCACTGAGCACCCACAGAATGCTGGGGACCCCTGAGGTGGCTCTAGGTCTGGATGGGAAACAGGAAATCATGTATCAGAGCCAGGAAGCCAACCCGGCCTGGTGTGGGGTCCAGGGAAGCAGGCAGAGGTCGAGCTGACCCTAAGGGGCTGCCCTGGACTAGGGCAAGGTCTCAGCCTCCCTAGCTGCAAGATGCCTACAGGGGGATGTGGCTCAAGCGGTCGCGCGCTCGCCTGGCATGCGTGCGGCCCGGGCTCGATCCTCAGCACCACATACCAACAAAGATGTTGTGTCTGCCGAAAACTAAAAATAAATATATATATATAAAAAAAGATGCCTGCAGGGAGCTCCACAGCCTGCCGGGATGCCTGCCTGACTGCGCAGTGTGAGGTGTCCCCCCATCAAGATTCCGGAGTCTCATGTGACCTAAGCTCATCAGAGGGGAGAGGGAGCTCCACAGCCTGCCGGGATGCCTGCCTGACTGCGCAGTGTGAGGTGTCCCCCCATCAAGATTCCGGAGTCTCATGTGACCTAAGCTCATCAGAGGGGAGAGGGAGCTCCACATCCTGCCGGGATGCCTGCCTGACTGCGCAGTGTGAGGTGTCCCCCCATCAAGATTCCGGAGTCTCATGTGACCTAAGCTCATCAGAGGGGAGAGGGAGCTCGGCAGAGTGGCAGTGGTGGCTGTGATCCTGAGCGACCCGCCTCCACCCTCCTGGCTTCCCGGTCTATAACATGGGGATACCCTGCAGAAACCCCTGAAGCACGTTCTGAAGACTGAATAATGTTAAATACTCCAGGCATTTTCCAATAGCACCCCGAAATTTGGAAGCGAACTGGTCCTTATGCGCGGTGGTAGAGGGGAAAACTGAAGCCCGTGAGAAGCAAGGTGGCGACCCGAGTAGGGCTGGCTTCCCGGGGCGCGGGGCCGCCGGGCGGGCGCCTTCCCGAGGAGGCCCTGGGGGAGGCGCGCGCGGCGGCGTTCTCGGCCCGGCCCCGCCCCGCAGGCCCCGCCCGGCCGGCGGGCGCGCCCTGGCCCAGGAGGCCCTGCCGCCTGCGGCCCGCCGCCCGCCTCGCACTGAGCCGAGTCCGCACGGCTGCAGCATGAGCCGCCCCGCAGACAGCCCGATTTTTACGCCCGGAGAAGACTGCGGCGCTGCGTGGCGCGCGGCGCCGGCGGCCTACGACCCGGCGGACACGCACCTGCGCATCCTGGGCAAGCCGGTGATGGAGCGCTGGGAGACCCCGTACATGCAGGCGCTGGCGGCCGCCGCCACCTCCAGAGGTAGCCCCCGCCCGGGCGCCGGCGGGGAAACCAAGGCCGGGGCGTGCCAGCCCACGGTCGGGTGGCCCGTGGCGCACTAGCGCCCCTGCGCGCCTCGGCTTCCTCGTGGTGGAGTGGGGCTGCTTGCTAGTGGGACGACCGAGTCAGGCAGGGGGGATGTTGCGGGAACGAGGCCAGCACCCAGTAGGCGCCCGCTAAGTAGCAGGAATTTCCCCTCCACAGGAAATGAGGTCCCTGCTCCCTGGGGCAGGTCAGGGGATGGGTCCTCGGACCGCTACCCGGGGTGGAGCTTGTCTGTGATAGGAGCTGTGGGACGCGGAGCAGGTGCCTTCTCAGGACCGGGGAAGCCTGGCGCTCGGCAATGGCTAAGAATAGCTCCGGAAAGCTGAGTTTAGGAGACAGCTGCCCCTTGTGGCCCTGCACTGCCTGGTGGAAGGCCGTGTGCCCCAGACTCCCAAGACCCAAATGGAGCCCTTCAGGGGTCAAACGTGGCCTTTGGATGCTGAGCCTCAATGCTCCCACCTGGCCAATGAGCACATCCAGTGTCTCTGTGCACAGCAGTGGAGAGGGGCTTTGACACGCGGTCCAGAAGGACTGTACCCTCTCTCTCCTCCCAGAGCATTCCAAGTCCTAGGCCTCAACCCAGCTTTGCCCTTGCAAACTTCGTGGTGCAGAGGGAGGGAAGGGGACAGGAAAGTAACCAGTTAGAGAGATAAGGGCCACCAGTACAAACAGCATGGGCCTGGTCTCAAAGTCCAAGGCTTAACCTCCCCCCAGGGGCTCTGGCCAAAAGCTTCTGTCCAAGGCCTCTCTGGCGGGCCACCCTTTCTGGACACTGGCCAGGGCCCACGCTATTGCCTCTCTGGACTGCTGTGTCCTGTCCACCCACAGCACCCCTCCCCTGTCCTTGTGGCAAATGCGATTCTCGGCCAGTGCTCGCCCAGCACCCCCTCCTCCAGGCAGCTCCCCAGAGGAACCACACGCGATGCCTGGTGTCTTTTGTCTGTCCAGGAGGCCGGGTCCTGGAGGTGGGCTTCGGCATGGCCATCGCAGCCTCAAAGGTGCAGGAGGCTCCCATCGATGAGCACTGGATCATCGAGTGCAATGATGGCGTCTTCCAGCGACTCCAGGACTGGGCCCCGCAGCAGCCACACAAGGTGCCCCCCTGCCAGCCCACTTGTGATCAAAGGCGCTCCCTAGAGGAGGCTGGGGGCCTGGGGCGGCCACAGATGGGGAGATGGTCTACCCTTTCAGCAGGTAGGGAGATTTTTGGGACTCCTTCCCTATCTTCATTTTCCTCCCCTCTCCCAAGGTTGTCCCCTTGAAAGGCCTGTGGGAAGACGTGGCGCCCACACTGCCAGACAGTCACTTTGACGGTGAGGGTGCCCCGGGAGCTAGGTATGGGGGTGTCATGGGGGTGTGCTGAGCTCCAGCTCCTCTCTGGTGGCTCCTGCCAGGCCTCTGCTCATGGAGGGGTCTTCTAAGTACACCATGTGTGGCACACACCTGGGGACAGCCTGGGTGGGCAAGGACATGAGCCTACTGGAGAGCCTGGTGTGTGACAAGATACCTGAAGGTGTGCAGAGGTGGTGTCCAGTGGACATGATGCCCACCTGCAGTCCAGCCCTGACAGAGCCATGTTGCCATGCAGGGATCCTGTATGACACGTACCCGCTGTCAGAGGAGACTTGGCACACGCACCAGTTCACCTTCATCAGGGTAGGAAGTGGCGGCGCTGGGTACTCTGCGGGCTGGGCAGGGCGCCTGGCTTTCCTCCCATTCCTGACTGCTGGGGTGCTGACTGCTGGGGTGCAGCAGGCCTGTGGGGAGCCCCTGTCCAAACCCACCTCCTCCCCAGAACCACGCCTTCCGCCTGCTGAAGCCTGGAGGAGTGCTCACCTACTGCAACCTCACCTCCTGGGGGGAGCTGATGAAGGCCCAGTACTCAGACATCACCACCATGTTCCAGGTGGGGCCACGGGAGGGCATGGGTGGCGACTCTACCAGGCAGTGGCCCTGGGGACCTCTGGGAGGGCTCCCCTCCTGCAGGCCTCAGGGCTGAGATCCTGGATGGGCTAGACTGTACTGGCTGCCCATCCAGACCCCTCACTGGGTCAGCCGTCTGCCATGGCTCCCCAGTGCCCTGAGGATACAGCCCGGGCCCTGTGCCCCCCTCTGTTGCCTGTCCAGCCGTTCCTATCAGAGCCTCTGCCCACCACAGGGCCAAAAGGCAGGTCTCCTCATGAGACGTCCGTCCTTCTGCTCTGGGGTGCACTCATAAGAACATGGAGAACCACCCCAGGCAGGGGCCACAGAGGGCCTTTGTGCCTTGCTGGCCCTGGGGTGCTGGCTGGGGGACTGCTGGGAGGACACCCGGGGCATGTGGACAGCTGGACTACACTCACCTGGGCACACACCTGGGGCCTGAGGGGCAGTGCCAGGGCTGTGACCACCCCCCCCCCCCCAGGAGACACAGGTGCCTGTGCTGCAGGAGGCGGGCTTCCTCAGGGAGGACATCCGCACGGAGGTGATGGCTCTGGTCCCGCCAGCCGACTGCCGCTACTACACCTTCCCGCAGATGATCATACCCCTGGTCACCAAGCACTGAGCCACCCGCCTCCAGATCTGCACACACTCAGTGCCTTTGTGGGCCACGGCCCACCTACTAGGCCTCTGTGCCCCACCTGGTGCCTCTGCTGGGCCTGATTCAGCAGTGGTCACAGCTTTGCTGACCACTGCCAGGTAACCTGCTGGGCTGAGAGAGAAATAAAGGCGGCCAGTGGGCATGTGTGCAGTGGTGTGTGTAGCCCAGCTTCCCAGCAGCCCCAGGTCAGAAGCCTGCCCATGGTGGATGTCCCCTGTCCAAGGTGGCAGGAGGCGAGACCACTACTCTGATGGCAGCAGAAGGTCTTGAGGGGCTAGTTAGGGCCTCACAGGGTGGGGGGATGGCCCCTGCCCTGCCCACCCCAGTGAGCAGTGTCATCCTGAGAACTGCTCCACCACTGCAGAGCTCCCACTGTCCAGGGTCTTGACCAGGACCCCACCACCTAGGGAACAGACCGGCTCAGCTTGTTCTGGGCCCAACTGGTCACCCCAGCTGTTGGCCTTACCCACGCAGCTCTTGGGCCTGTCCATTCACATGCAGGCCCTCAGTACTGCTGTGCCCTCTGCAGGGACCCTCCTGCCAGCTCCCTCCACACGCTGAGCACAAAGGCCAGGCCGAGGGCTCAGTGCAGGACACTCCCTTTGACTGGAACAGCTGCCACTTTAGCATGGTCTTGTCCCAAAAGCTGTTCTTGGGCTGGGCACATGGCCAACACTGCAATCCCAGTGACAGGCTGTGAAGCAGGAGGACTGCAGGGTCAAAGTCAGCGTCTGTAATTTAGGGACCAATTTAGCAAGACCCTGTCTCAAAATGAAAGGGGTGGGGATGTGGCTCAGAGGTAAAGCACACTTGGGTTCAGTCCCCAGTACCAAAAAAAGCCGTCCTTTGACTGGGCCAGGCACCCACTGCCTCCACCCTAGTGATCTGGGAACCCCCATCCTATCCCTGATTGGTGGGAACTGCCATCCCAAAACCATCCCTGGCCCGTGGTGGCACTCGCTACGGACTTGCAGAGCTGGGGTCAGCAGAACATGGGACATCTAAATATGGTTGAGAACACACACCTCTGAGGAAGGCAGCCTCTGGTGAAGGCCTTCCTGAGGCCACCTGGCTGGAGACTGCACACCCAGGGGTGCTCCAGGGATGGTCCCCAAAGGGGATGCCTGTGCCTGGTGTCTCCAGGGTAAGGGTCAGCTGGTGGGGATGTGGCTCTTTCTCTTCAGCCTCTCAGTGTCCTTACAGGTCCAAACTACTGAGACATGGGCTCAGGAGACAGTGGCCACTTGAGCCACCCAAAAGGCCAGCAGCTGTTTAAACCAAGGGGGCCTGAGAGGGAGAGGGTCAGGGGCCCCAGGCCAGAGCCTCCCAGCAGGGGTCATCTGGGTGATGGGCCAGGCAGTTCACCCCCTGGCACCTTCATCCACAGGGTAGTAAGAGACCCTGCCTGGCAGAGGCCCTACTGAGCAGGCACAGGATACCAGGCTGACCCCCTCCTCAGCTCTGTCCCACACTGTCCATCTGTCTGGGGGCTGCTATCCCTCACCCCAGGGCGCCTCGCACCCCACACTGCACACAGCACGAGGACTGAGGTTTATTCCGTCTTGGGGCAGGGTGCACAGGGCTCCAGTGGCTGCAGAGGTGCTACCTGCGGTACCAGATCTTGAGTCTCGTCTCCCGTTTGATCTTCCTCTGAAGCTGCAGGATGCCGTACAGCAGGGCCTCTGCTGTGGGCGGGCAGCCTGTGGGGGACACGAGCTCAGCTCCCTCCTGTGGCTGACCTCTGGCCAGAGCAGTAAGGCCACTCCAGCCTGCCCTTCCCTCTGCAGTGCAGCCCCACAAAGGTCCACCAAACGCACCCTGCTGGGCCCAGGCAGGTGGGCAGGCCAGGGAGAAGCCCTGAGCAGAGTGGGCCGGGCTGACTCATCTTCCCCTCCTGCTACTCCTTCCTGGACTCTGCAGGCCTGAGACAGGACCCGGGCAGTGCCTGCACTGCCTAGTCTGGCCCTCAGGCACTCCCAAGAGGGGAGAAGCCACTGCCCTCCGGGTACGGGGGCACACATTCACAAACAGGCATGGGACCTGGGGCCAGGGAGCCCAGGGCAGACAGCTTGAGCCAAGAAGAACAGGGGGGTAGTCCCCTGGCACCAGCCTCCAGCATTCCTGACCAGGGACATCCCTTGCTCACTGGAGGCCCAGGCTACAGTGTGAGACAGCCTAGAGCTGGGCATGGTTGTCCCCCATGTCCAGAGGGAGCTTTGCTTCCAGACCTTGATGACTACTGGTTGTCATCAGAACAAATGCCCAGGAAGCCACCACACAGTGCCCATCTGCCACTCACTGGGACTGCCCAAGGAAAGGGACACCGTGGGCCTGCATGTGAAACAGGACGTCCAGGTCAGCATGATGTCAGCCAGCCAGCGCTCAGTAGGCCCTGAGCCCTCAGGGGACACACACACCGAGGAAGCACTGGTGTCGCTCCTGGCATTCGGAGTGAACTGAGGGCCCTGCACTTTCTGGTTCCTTGGTGCTGGGACAGAACTCAGGCCTCACGAGTGCCAAACAAGCGCAGCACCACTGGGCCACACCAGCCTGCCCTGCACACTTTATTTGCTAAGTATGGCCACCTGGCCACCCCTGGATCTGAGGGGGTCTTACGGGCCTTCCTGTGAGGACCAGGAATGTTCCTTGGCCTCCAGGAACATTTTCCCATTTCTGTAACTATACATGGCTCCATGTGGTCCCAGCATGGGCCAGTCCAGTGTCTGGACTACTTCCCTGCAGGAGTCCCTTCGCTGACCAGGGGCTGGGCTACCTTGGACCAGTCTGTCTCTGGAGCATGTCCTCACCTGGCACATAAATGTCCACGGGCACGATGCGGTCACAGCCTCTCACCACGGAGTAGGAGTAGTGGTAGTAGCCGCCTCCGTTGGCACAGCTGGGGGAGGGGCAACTCTGCACAGGGCTGCGGGCAGCACCCACCTCCCCCCACCAGCTGACGGCAGCCTCCAGGGGCCCTCTGCAGCACAGGGGCAGGTGTGCAACAGCCCAGGGCTGCTGACGGCCAATTCCCAAGGGCGGCCAGCGTGGGGTCAGAAGACTGGCAAGAAGTCCCTGGAGGAGCACAGGTCGCCAAGGCCATGCCAAAACCCACAACCTGCTGCCTCCACCCCAGGAAAAGCCAGGAACGCCCCCTGACTCTGGGCCACTGGCCCCAGGGCTGTGGGAACAGGAACAGCCACGCCTGGCGACGGTGACTGGCTAAGTGAGCTCTGGGGTGTATCTCAACTGCTCCGAATGAGGTTACTGGGCTGTCCACATGCTGGGGCGTCCTTGGCCACCAGCAGGAGCGAGCTGACACAGCTGCAGTGTGGACAGACCTGAGCGCCTGATGCTTAATGAGATCAAGACACACAAGGCCACAGCATATGACCAGTGACAGGAGAGTCCAGGACAGGGGAGTCCAGAGACGGGATGTGGACTTGTGGGTGCAGGGCTGGGGGGACGGGGGCTACTCATGGTGATGGGGTCTCCTTTTGGGGTGACAGGATGTTCTGGAACTACAGATTCTCATGCCTCTGTGTAACTACAAGCTACTGAGCTGCCCACTTTAAATGGTCAACTTCATGGTATGCAAATTCTATCTAGAAAAAATTAAAAGCGACTAGACAGCCCTGGTAGGGAGGACCGCGGGCGATGCCCAGGAGTGTGAGTGCCAGGCTACTGTCCCACTGCTCCCAAGTTCAAGAAGCAGAGTGCTAGGGGGGTGCTTGCTGCAGGCTGGGCCGCTGGGGAGGTGTGGCCTGCCTATGCTCCCCCGCCCCCAGAAATGAGACCAGAGGGGCAGGGAGGGGGCTGCAGCCATCGGCACTCACCTCCCCATGGACACCACGTAGCGGGGCTCTGGCATCTGGTCATACACCTGAAAGAGACGTACGTCTGTGGTCTGTGTGGCCCCTGGCAGGCCCCTGGCTGGCCGGGCAGGGGACAAGGCATACCTTGCGGAGTGCTGGGGCCATCTTGTTGGTGAGCGTGCCAGCCACGATCATCACGTCAGCCTGGCGGGGGCTGGCGCGGAAGACAACACCAAAGCGGTCCATGTCGTAGCGGGGTGCAGCCATGTGCATCATCTCCACGGCGCAGCAGGCTAGGCCAAAGGTCATGGGCCACAGAGAGCTCTGGGGGGCGGGGGGCAGGGTCACACGCAGCCCATCATGGAGTCCACAGAGGAAATGTCTCGGTTGCTAGCCCCACTTGAGAGACTACCCTGGTTCCCATCCCAAGAGCAGTGGCCAGGAGGAAGGGCTGCCCCTCACACCAAGTGAGCTCCGGGCCGGGGCCCTCTCAGAGCGCACTTGCTGCCAGACACATCAGAGGAACTGCCCATGGGTCAGCCCATCCAGCCCAGGACATCCTGCAGGCACCAGCCATGGGCCTAGTGGTCCTAGCAGCCTGTGAGAACACAGGTCTGAATCTCCAGGCCTGCTCAAGTTCTAAGCCTGTCCCACACGTCCCCAGGATCTGCAGCCCAGCAGCTCCTGCACAGCCTGGCTGACCCCCCAGGAGCCATCCTTGAGCCCTTGGCCTGGCCATTTCCTCAAACTGTTGGCTTTGTTCCGCTGTGGCTCTTGCTGGCCCCCCACCTGGGTAGGAGACCTCAAAGTGTCCCCATGCCCAGCAGATGTGTTAACAAAGGTGGCCAGGTCCAAACTACAGAGCATGGATGGCCATGTCCACCTGGCTGGCCTCTGTGGCTGGACAGATCCTGAGCCCCCAGATTTCTGTGCTAATGTGAGACCCTGCAGAGGGCACCTGCATCTTGAAAGCTGCAGCCCTGGCAGGATGCTCACAGGCACACGCCAGTGGGCGACAGTCAGCCTTGGGGTGGATCAGGGCTGATCTGGACACTGAGTAGACTTCCTGGTCCTGACCTGCACACAGCAGGGGAAAAGGACCTACTGCTCTCAGTATGTGTGCCTTTTCTCATTTGCAAAACTCCTCTGGGGGCTGAGATGTAGCCCAGCTGGTCGAGGGCTGCCCCGCAGGCACCAGGCCGGTTCAACCCCCAGCACCACCCACACAGCTCTGTCAAGAGACCCCAGGAAGGCAGAGGCCCAGGGAACAGGGAAGGGCGGGGTGGAAGTGAGGAGGGTGGGTTCAAGGACAGCTGGGACACAGGCGTGC